CCTAATCAGCTAAGTTATGCCGAAACTTGCCATGGAGCCGCCATCAATGTCAGACGTGTCCTCAGCGTTTGCTTGCGGTTTGTGGATTTAGGGTTGGCGGCTGTGAGACGTTCGACCTCCATAATCGGTGCCAGTATACAGCGCATACGGGTTACTGTATAAAGGTTGCTCTCTCCCTCTCTCTCTCTCTCTCTCTCTCTCTCTATATATATATATATATATATGTATATGTACATATATATATATATGTATATGTATGTGTATATGTGTATGTATATACATATACACGCATAATCTGTTGAGGTTTGGACTGCTTTCGGACGTAGGGTTTGGGATTGAGGGCTCAAAGCCTTCGCTGTTCAGGCATGTAATTCCCAGACCTTCCAAAATCCCTTAATTAAGGAATATACCTTATCTTAAAATAGGATCCCTAATATGATTTAAGGTATTTTCCTTAATTAAGGGATCTTGGAAGGTCTGGGTGTTCAGGCATGTAATTCCACACATGGGCGGCTTCGGGAATCAAGCGTTCGATTTCCTCCAACTTTATTTCTCATGAGGCTTCACTGCTGTATCTGAAGAGCATTGCTATTGGCCGAGCTCTTGAACCAAACTTTTTATCATGCATCGGCAACCCATGCATTGCTCATATACCTACGAGAGGGTCGGTGAAAAGGGCATGGCGACAATGGTGCTGATCTCAGGTGCTAAACTCTAAACCGTAAACCTTAAACCCTAAACTCTAAACCCTAAACCCGAACCATGAACCTCCAATCCTAAGCCTACCTGCACCCAAAAAGCCGACCCTTTCATGGCCTCATCTTAGGAAAGCATGTTCAGGAGCCCTATAAGCAGGGTACTATACGGGCCTCAATAATCAGCATAGGGTTTTGGGCCCATTCTACTAGAATTATAAGGAGCTCTAGAGCAGGGTGATCTACGGACTATACGGGCCTTAATAATTAGAATAGGGTGTTGGGGCCCGCTCTACTCTAGCTATAATTATAATAAGGGGCACTCCAAAATAGTATTGGTACTTATTTACCCCCGTATATGAGGTAGTTGGGGGTCGTAAATATATGCTCCATTCCTGCAGTCGCTATCCAAAGCCTTATATCCAAAGCCCTTGAAATGCCATGAGCCAGCTGACCCGATGTGGGAGTTTCCGAAGATAGGGGACCCTAATATAGTACCCTAAATAGTAGGATCCTTATTATAAGGTTGGCGGACACAAGGTCATAGGCGACAAAGGTGAGACAGAAAGAACACACAGCTGCTGTTTCAATCACTGGAAATTGGCGATGATCGTGTCTAACGCGCTACAGGTGGCATCAACAGAGGATAGCCACTCAAGGACCCCCAAATTACGGCACCCCTATTTTCGGAAACTCCGATGTCGACCCTACAGACACACGGAGGATACAGGATCCCTAATCTGCCCCCAAACGGCTCCGAATCACCCTAATCAGACGAACACCCTATGAAATCCTCAAATACCTCGGCTGAAACCCCTTGAAGAATTGAAATCGTCGTTTGAAAAAATTACCCCCCCCCCCCGTCCTAAATTGCAGCCATGACGCCGCGCAAGGTCCACGGGTCGCGTTGGGGAGCTCGTTGCACATACTGAGGTCGGCGTCAGCCAGCTCAGCCTTGAAAACGCATCGGTTTGGGCTAAGGGGGGTTTAGGGCTTAGGGTTTAGGGTTTAGGGTTTAAGGTTTAGGGCTTAGGGTTTAGGGTTTAGGAGGTCTTAGGCTTTATAGGGTTCAGGTTTAAGGTTTAGGGTTTAGGAGGTCTTTGGCTTTATAGGGTTTAGGGTATCTTAGAGTTTAGGGTTTTGGGGCGTTGCTCTTTCTTTGGGCTTCCAAACCTGTTCACCCTTCAGGGCAATGTGGGTGTTTAGGGTGGGAACGGCCTTGGAACCCTACACACAGAACCCTATCCCCGAATCCTGTCTTTTAAGCTTTTGGGCTTTTCCAGGCTCAAGGCTTTAGATTTTTGTCGGGTCAGGGCTGTCAAGGTGTCTCCAAGCTTGCACCACGAGTTCAGGTAAGAGTTGTGCTTAAAGTGTGTTGTTTTAATGTGTGCTTTTAGTTTTCAAGCCTTGCATTTTGCTATGTATATACTTTTGGTCAATGTTGTTTTGGGCTCATGGAAATTGAAAAGGGCTTTGGGGGCTGTATTCTTTAACATAGGGGCCTTTAATCATTTAGAACAGGTTTGTGGGGATATTATACTATATAACCATAATCAAGAACCTCCAAAACCCTAAATCGAATGGCCCCTACAGTACATGGGCCTGAGGCATTCTACAGGATTCCGACAGACACCGTGATTTGTGAGTTTCCCAAAATAGGGGACCCTAATATAGTACCCTGAATAGTAGGATCCTTATTCTAAGTACCCCAAAAGAAGGTACCCCCTAATTCTCGGAAACTCCCATGTGTGTATGGTCGGGAGGAAGATGTTCGACCACCTAGTTGCTACGAATGTAAGGTGATCAGGCAGATCCACCCGGAGGTTTGGGTTTAGGGCTCAGGATGCTAGGGTTGTGAACCCCCCCCCCATCGAAGCAAAAAAACAAGTCAAAAGCCATACCCAAACTCGTAACACCCGCAACGCAAACACCTCAAACAACACGCAATCCAAGTGAAGCAGCTGGGAGCAAATCCTGGATCGCATGGCAGCAGCCAACATTTGCGAAACCTGTGGCAAAGCACTCTGTGAACTTCTATATAGTTGGAAGGAAGCGAGCACTTCCAGTGTCTGGGCCTTTGAACAACCGGGAGCCCTGAACCCTAAAGGGAACTCCAGAAAGTTGGAATATGGATTAATGGCAGGATCCCCTAAAATTTACCTTAAAGGGGTTACGATCATGATATTCCAACTTTCTGGCTTCTACTGTAAGCCCCGAAACTCTAAACTCCTAAATAATTACCCTTACACCTAACTTTCTGCCTTGTGGGTCTACTTAGAGGATCATGGGACTTAGTAAGTAGGTCATAATTGGGGTTATAAGCCCCCTAAGTGGGGTTATCCTAATTATAACCTACTTATAACCTTACTTACTAAGTCCCATGAGCCTTTAAGTAGGCTCCATCCTCCGAAGCTAAGAGTCAGCCTCGATCCGTAAATTTCCAAGTCTTAAGGCGGAACCCCGACTGGCGATTCACAAGGGCCCTTTTGACAGGGTTTGGTTTGATCACATTCACTACTACAGGGTTAAGCTTATTAAAGAGTAGGGGCAAAACTAATTTAGGGTTTGGGGGATCGTGTGGTATTGTATAAGCATGCACGGACCCGAAGTGGATGCGATGGTTACTCATTCAGGCCACTACATCCAGAATTGCATCTCGACAGCTCCCCTAATACTAATCCGCAAACCCTATAAACCTCTGGACCCCCAAATCCTAAACCCCTGAACCCCTAAACCCCTGAACCCTAAACCCTGATTCGATTCTGAACGAGGGCTTTCGGGTTCGCGGTTACCGGCTTCGATTTTTCGGCTGGAGCTTTGGTTTCAAACAGACACGGTCGCAAGAACATGGGCGATGACAGCGATAAGACCAATGCGACAAAAACATGTTTTGAATGTTATTGGCACTAGTAGCATTATGTGGTATGATTTAGAGTTAGTACTTTTAGTAGATTGGTAGTAACCACGATGACAAAGATAATGATTGTGTTGCTAACAAGTATGGTAGTCGACCCTCCTGAAATTGCGGGAGGCTGGACGCACAAACAACCCCACCACGTAGAGTCGAATGCAATGCTCTGAAACTCAAAGCTGATAATCTTCCAGTAGGACTCGGGGTCTGACTTGAAGGCTTTTTGTCGGAACATCTGCGCTGACACCATGACAGGGCCGGGAGAGGGATTGAACCAATCCCTGAACCTGAAGCCCTAAATGGAACTCCAGAAAGTTGGAATATGGATTAATGGTAGGATCCCCTATAATTAAACCTTAAAGGGGCTACGATAATGATATTCCAACTTTCTGGCTTCTACTGTAGAACCCTAGAGGCAGACGAAACATTTTCGTGGACCCATTTCCTTCTAAACGGTGAGGGTGGGCTCGGGGGATTCAGCTGCAAGCAAGCGTCAATGCTCCACTTCGGCAGCCAACTTGGCAAGCGGATTCACAAGCATGGGAATGGTCTTTTCGGAGTGTTCCATTGAGGAGCTTCTTAAAAGTAGGGGTACCGGTGTAAATAATGATATACTATACTATACTATACAATACTATAACATATATGATATATTAAATTGGTCCTATGGCATCCTACTCATCCTAGTACTGTGGATCATGATAAGGGTTTGGGTTCTTGGCCTTTGAACCACCTTGTTGAACCAAGGTTCTGTTGTTTTAGTCTAGGGTTTAGGGTTTACGCGCTTCTCCAAGTGCATGTGTTAGTTGTGGGGGGAGCGATGAAGGTTTTTTTGTTGAAAGAGCTCTTTTCCGTCTGCACGCGGCTACTTCCTACGGCAGCCGACTGGAGGCGAGCCAATCCGGCCAGCTTACGCATGTAGGATTAAGGGTTGAGCGAAGTAACCTTAAACCCCAAACTATGAAATCTACACCCTAATTAAGCCCTACCATTAAATGGAACCTTTACGCCTGAAAATGAAACCTAGACGGATATCCTTCGTCTTCCCGGGACCCTCGTAAGATCTAGATTCGTGCTCGGCTTGCTAAACTTGGTTCAGGAACTCCAATTTCGAGACCTTGTACGGTTCGACACTGCTGATGCCTGCTGCACTTGCAAGAGTGATCCATCGGAATCCATCAGGTTACTTCTCTAAATGAGGATGCCTTATTCTTTCGGAATGCCCCATAGAGAAGTTGCCGACAGTTACAATAGATCCTGGCACCCGGAGTTGTGACGTGAAAGTAAACACAATCCTGTGACCAACCAGAACTGAAAATACTTCCAGAGGGTTTAAGGTTTCGGGCAAGGTTCTACCATTCATTCGGGTACGGAGTGGGGACGTACTTCTGCGTCTAGTCGTTTATGCAAGTCGTTTTAAGTGTGTCTTTTGACCCAAGCCCAAAAACATTGAGCAAAGGAGCGGAACACAGAGTGGTCACATTTTCCATTGACATGTTTGTCATGGTGACGAACTCCATGAAGAGGTTGAGAGCGTCATCACCACTCTCAAGCTGCATGTTGCCGGCACTACCTCAGCTTGCAGAATGGAAGACCGGTGTACCACCCAGACCTTCCAAAATCCCTTAAATATGGAATATACCTTAAATCATATTAGGGATCCTATTATAGTTTAAGGTATATTCCTTAATTAAGGGATTTTGGAAGCTCTGGGCACACAGCCGGAATGACATCTACCATGCAATTGCACTCAGCTGCGGGATTTGCCAAATTTCGGAAGAAGACGTCTGATGTCATGCAGGACTCGACGTGGCATGAACCCCTTCAGCTTTTCATATCACTAGCCCTTTCAACCCTGGCTGTGGCATGCCCAGCAACATGCCAGCATCCCCCAGTTGCACTCCTGGCACGTTGCAACAACAACCCAGAAAAGAACTGCGCTCTGACGTTGTGGAGAACTTCGACAGGGGTGGTTGTCAAAATTATGGTCCCTTTTTGGGTCCCTATTATAATACGGCACCTTATATTTAGGGAACCCAAAAAGGGACCATAATGTTGACAACCACCCACAGATTTTTGTCGGTGTCCCACACTTGTCAGCTCCGTATCTTTGACTAACTGGACTCCAGCTCTATAAGTGACGCTCAGCTTTCAAGGATGCGCGTTGTTCCTGGATAGGATCGTAGTCGCACAGAGGTCCCTAGTTGCTGAAGGCTGAAATGTCTGAAGATCAGCAGGAAAACTTGGCAAGGCGAGGCATGCTTGTCGCATTCTGTTGCTAGCAGTATTTCAGATGAGCCTAATTCAATCAAGCTGGGAGCTTCAGAAGCTACGCATCCTAGATTTAGCATTTGTCAGGAAGAAAGTACCTGCGCGGAACAAGCCGGCAAAGTTTCATGAATGCAATATACACAGACCCGCAACAGCTCCGAATCTGCCTGGTGGTCGCCGCTGCCATCCGTATAGTTGTTGTAGCCGTCTGTATGATTACCGTAGCCACCGCTCGAGTAGTTGTCGTACTCGTCAGAGTGCTTGCCATAACCACCGCTCGAGTAGTTGTCGTACCCGCTGGAGTAGTTGTCATAGCCACCGCTCGAGTAGTTGTCGTACCCGCCGGAGTAGTTGCCGTAACCACCGCTCGAGTAGTTGTCGTACCCGCTGGAGTAGTTGTCGTAGCCACCGCTGGAGTAGTTGTCGTACCCGTCGGAATAGTTGCCGTAACCACCGCTCGAGTAGTTGTCGTACCCGCTCGAGTAGTTGTCATACCCGTCGGAGTAGTTGCCATAGCCACCACTTGAGGAGTTGCCGTACCCATCGGAGTAGTTGCCGTAGTCACCACTTGAGGAGTTGTCGTACCCGTCGGAGTAGTTGCCGTAGCCACCGCTTGAGGAGTTGTCGGAGCTGTCGGAATAGTTGTCGTAGCCACCGCTTGAAGAGTTGTCGTAGCCGTCGGAGTAGTTGCCATAGCCACCGCTTGAAGAATTGTCGTAGCTGTCCGTGTAATTGGTGTAGTTGTCGCCTGGGAACTCAATTCATGCATGAAGCCGTCGGAGTTTGGGGAGGATTTGAAGCTGATTAGTCAAGGAATATGCCGAAAGCCCTCAACACGGAAGGTCTGAAAGCGTGCAGACTCTACACCCCGAAGCTTCTCTAATGTTCAAGATTGCACAAGCTCTTTGAAGTATCTCCGCAAGAGCCTGGTGGGTTCCAGGCGCAGTCACAAACAAAACCAAGACTTTAGATGTGATAGTGACTATAAGGATTATATTACGGCCCTATTATACTCCTGTAATACCACCATTACAGGGTGGGGCCCCTTCTAACCAAGACTTCAGGTCTTTCAATCGCGATAGTCTCGAGACTCGCCACGAGAAGAGCACGATTTGGGCACTCTGGTAGGGTGACAACACGGTAGCCGGACACAGTTGGCGAAAGCGATCTCGATCGCTGAAATTCACCCTAAAATCACAAACCAGAAAAGGCAGATTTAGCTGTCACTGGACGACCGTGATACTGTTGGTCTATAAGCCACCCAAAATAGCCCTCCCTGTATCTTTCTTGAAACGAAGCGCAAGCAAGCAACATCGTACCTCGAATGCCAGACAGCACAACCGGTGTCCTGCCCTGTACATGTAGACTCAATCTGAAATACTACAAAATGCGACATCCTCTGATAACATCTTAGAGAGAGAGAGAGAGAGAGAGAGCCAGAGATGTCTGTGTATATTGCATAAGTACATAAAAACCTACATGTGTATACATGTATTGAAAGTCTTACTAGATGTGCATATGTATGTATATATATATAGGTATATTAATCACTACATATATATATATGTGTAGGTCTGTAGTCCTGGTGCCTTCAGAGTAGTTGTCGCCTGTGTCGTTGGTGTCGTTACTGACCTCGAAATCACCAGCACGCAGGGAGAATTCAACTGCCTAAGCCCTAAAGCCCTAAAAGCTAAACCCTGAACCCGTAACCCCTAAACAACTATAACACCTGAAAGCAAAATAATCAGTCATAAACCCTATACGCTGTAGAACCTGAACTCTGAAAAGCCTAAACCCCAATAACAAAATCCTAAACCTTAGCAGATTAGCAAAACATTGTGCAAGCACGCATGCCTTAGCGAAGCCCTCAAGCAACAAACACTAGCCTTCAGAACTTTCGGGTTCATAAGGTTAAGACTAAATTTATGAAGCCCTGCCAACACCCAGAACTGAGACTTGAGATGCAGAGACGTGCGTTCGAGACCGACGGTATCGAGAACCCGAATGCAGGACTCAAAAGGGTCTAGAATGAGAGTCGTAGCACGAGAACGAGGGGTCAAGGACACTAAAGATGCAGATCAGTCATGCCCTGCCCCATCTTCTTGCAAATAACACAGCCCGAGATACTCCTAAGTTGATACAGATGAAAACACCAATATCCACACCACCTCAAATCAACTGCTCAAGCTCTTCACTAATATATCCGTAGATCAGTTTGGACCCTTTGTTAATGGACCCCCTACACAAGCCCCAAACCCTAACCCCGCCCTTTTGTGTAAGGGCATTGCCATGCGAAACCTGAGAAACCTATAGCAGGGTTCGAGGGATTACTGAACAGGGGCCTGCATTACTCTGCGTATGCCGTGTCGTGATCTCAACAACAATACGCAGCACTAAGCGTTTGCTACGCCAGACCTCAAAAGGCTCAGAACCAGAAAACCGTAAACAAGTTCCGAAGAGACCTCAAAAACGCTAACATAGCTTCAAGGACACCACAAAAAGCCTGTAACGCCTGTATAAGCTAAACGGAGCCCTTAACTTCCAATGCGGCTCAGGCTTTATGGCTTCGGGCTGCTGAAGCATGCTGCTACAGCGCCATGCGGCTCTTGATTCAGAGTGCTTCTGCATCTAGGATCTACCATCTGTGTTATAGTTTTTCGTTTTGTTGGGGGTGGGGGGGGGGTGGTGGGGGGGGTGGAGATGTCCCAGGCAGCACCATGGACCTTTCCACCCCGGTTTCAACAAGTCAACCTCAACCACCGAAACCCTAATCCCGAAGCCCCTAGACCCCTAAACCCTAAACCCCTAAACCCTAAACCCCTAAACCCTGAAAGGGCCTCCAGCCGGCGACCAAGCAGTCGTCCCCCAAACGTTCGTCGCAATCCCTTCGGTTGGGAGTCCGTTTCCATGTCTTCTATTGCTGTCATTACCACTATGGACTATTAGACCCTAAAGATCCCTATTAGGACCCTATTAAGGGTAGATTAAGGTACCCTTAAGGTCTAATAGCCCATAGTGGTAGTCTTTAACTTTCACTACCCAGGTCTTTTCTTCAAAGCCTGAAGTCTCCAGGTCTTGGGATTTCGGGGTTTGGGGCTCGCTGGCGTCATGTAAACACCTGATGAAGAAACACCCTCCGGCTTGTAGGAATTAAAGTAGCGATCCTAACATTGGGTCCCTCAACGACATGAGGATTCTACATTACCCAGACCCCCCAACTGCCCTCTATTATCCCCCAAATACCCCATGTTCACAAGGGCTCTATTGCAGGGAAACGCGCTAAGCCCGAACAGCCCTGAATCCTCAGACCTGAAATCGAAAAGCCCTGAACATCCTCTGCAAATTCAAACTTACCGGACCCCGAAAGCCCCAAGCCCTAAAGCGTTCGTACCCAAATCCCTAAATACCCCAAACTCTAGGTACCCAAGACTCAAAACGCTAAAAAGCCGTAAACCCTGAATACCCTAAACCCCAAAGTACCGCCTTATAGCGCCCTAGGATCAGCCCTGAACCCAAACTACCCTAAACTCCAAACCCTAGATACCGCCCTACGCCCTGCGATAAGCCCTAAACCCTAAACCCTAAATCCGAGAGTTTCCGAAAATTGGGGACCCTAATATAGTACCCTAAATAGTAGGATCCTTATTGTAAGGACCCCAAAATAAGGTACCCCTAATTTTCGGAAGCTCTGAACCCTTATAGAGCCCTTTAAAGGAACCCTTACAGTACGCTTAGAGAAACCCTTTAAAGGGACCCCAATACCGACCTGAGCCCTACGAGAAGCCCTTGTGAATCCTCCATGCCTCGGATGGCATGCGCATCTGCTGGCGGAGCTTCGGCGCCTGCTTCAGGGAGGTTTAGATGCTTCGGGTTTTAGGGTTTAGAGGTTTAGGGTTTGGGATTTTAGGGTTTAGGCTGTTGGGGTTTAGGGTCTCGGGGCTTAGGATTTGGGAATGTAGGCTTTAAGGTTTTGGGGTTTTGGGGTTCAGGGTTTAGGGTCTTAGATGAAACGGCATCCTAGTCTGCTGGGCTCGGTAGAAAGGTGACGGTGAGACGCACTCTTGGGAAGCTGTCTGGTTTAGGTTGTGCACATAGCGTTTTAGGCGATTGTTTGATTGGCGTTCCAACACGTCTTGGAGACCGTATACAGCTCGCACCGTCAGAGGACACCGTACATCGGACTATCGGAGCCCGGAAACCCAATGTCAGGGTTTAGGGTTTAGGCATGAAGGTTCAATTGTTTAAGGTTGGGTTTAGGTTTGAAGCCCTCATAGAAACTGATCTTGAACATTCTGCGGAAAACGAACAGGTCGGTGGCAGACCCTTCCCAAAGCTCTTCCTTGAGGTGCTCATCTGTGTCGTAGTATTCCGTCCGAACAGAATTGAAGCAGTCGAATGGCAGAGGATGAAACCCTATGAACCCATGCAAACTCCACTGAAATGCCTCGAACGCCTCTCTGCAACTCGCACCGAAAGAGTCCCATGCACTGTACTTGAGGCAGATTCCCAAGCAAGAGGCCTGGGATGCTCTGTTAAACACTTACAGCCCTACTCCCCAATCCTATACCCCCCCAAGAACAACCCTGCTTTTCAAGCCCCCTTTGTGCAAGAAAAAATGTTCAAGGAAATAGTTCAAAAATTAGGGTTTTGTGTTTAGGGCTTCAAGGGGCACTCAGCTTAACCTCTCAGTAGCCTTGAAGTGACCTTTGCAAATCCCTTCTCGCAAGCAACTCTTTCATTAACCCTCAAAGTAACACCTCTAATCAGCAGGCCGAAGATCCCGTGCAGAACCCTTGTAGAAAGCCTTACGGTAAACCTTGCAGTCGCTTCTGCAGTATGCTTACAAATCCCCTATTCGAGGTAACCCTGATCTAACACTTGTAGGGACCCTATTGGCAACATCACCAACAGAACTTTGTGACCTGCAGTCGTCTCTTACCGGCCGCAAATGCGTCGCAAGAGCCCTTAGCTGGCAAGTGTCTTTTGGACCTACGGTTTAGGGCTTATAGGCCTCGGGGCTGAGGGTGTCTTCTGCACTGCTTTGTCTTGTCTTGTCCAGGGTTTACGGTTCAGTGCTACGAGTTCAGCAGTGTTGAACCCAGAAGTGACGCCCTCCCACTATCCGTCTGTGCTTGCGCCATCGGTGCGGCGAACTGACTTAGCTTGTCTGGCTGCGAAGTCTTTCATTCGGGATTAGGGATGTGGGGTTTAGGCTTCTGGGACGTAAATTGCAAGCAGAGTCGTCCAAAGTTGCACAATGTCGCACAACACGGGTTGCGATCCCTTATGTGCGAGGTGCCTGCTGCGCACATACAAGTATCACGTACTGCTTGATCTGAAATTCTAGCTTTTGTGGCCATATTATGTGTACCAAAACATACACAAAGAGTTCAAGCAGATGTATGAATGTATATGCGTATGTAGATGTATATGTACATGTACACGTACATGTACATGAAGATGCAGTGCGATGGGATGTAGATGTATTTGTAGATGTCTGTGTATAAACATATGTAGATTTCGATGTCTGTGTAAGTGTACAGGTATATGTACACTATGTCGATGTACCTGCAAAGTACATGCACATATATGCATATGCACCTGTACATATAAGTGTAAAAACAAGTACTAAGTAGTCAGTAGTAAGTATTCAGCCTTAAGTACATCGATATGTATGCATACAGGTAGAGGTATACGTACAAGTATACAACAGAAACCACAAGTACAAGTCAAAGTATGAACTACATGTATGAGTATAGGTATGGGTACATGTATTTGCATGCGCCGATGCATAAACTGCATACGTTTATGCAAAGTCTCATGTGCAGGTATAGGTATACTTGTGTCCATTTATCTCTCTCTTTCTCTCTGCCTTCTCGTTTCGGCCGTGAGTCTGGGTTGGCTGCGATGCACTCTGCCAGGCTCCTTCCGAAGAAGCTCTACAGGTTTGGGTTCAGGGTTGTAGGCTTATGGTGTGTTATCAGGCATATATATATATATATATATATATATATATATGAGGGGTTCTATGGACTGTGAGATTAGGATTTAGGGCCTAGGGCGTCAGGGATTTGTATGGAAGGCTCGTTTGGCCAACTCTAGCCCAGTGAAGGTTTGAAGGCTCTGGTGAGGATGCGCAACAGTGTAAATCCGGATCTTCGTGGCTATAAGCCGACACCCTAAACCCTAAACCATATCAACAACCCTGACTCGGTTTTTGGATGGAGCTCATGAAGAAGCGGCGACTAACACCTGATACCCGACGCCCTGTATCCTTGCGACGCGAACCAACTCATTAATTGAATCCCAAAGCCTTAAGTATCTGCACCTTAGGACCACAAAACCCTGTTCACCTTGACACCAAAGGCTTACTTCACCTTGAATGCCACAAGCCTATACGAACCAAAAGCCCTAAACCTTGCCAACCGAAGCCCGAAACCTCAAAACCCCCCCCCCCCCCCCCCCCCCCCCCAAAAAGACAACAAACAAAAAAACCCAAAATTTTGACAGCTTGATCCTTGAAGCCCCAAACGCCTAAAACCCACAGGATTCGGGCACCACGTGTGCAGGTGGAAAGGTCTTTGGAGCAGCGGCGAGAGATTTTGGAGGAACTTCTTTGGCTCTCCGTGTTTTTGAGTTAGGGATTTGGGCAAAACCCTAAACCCTAAACCCTAGTATAAACCCTAAAACTCCAGACCCGAAACTGTGAGGGTCTTGTTTAGGGTCACGGGGCCTGACACAGAGGTTTCTTAGAGGCTCAAGATGCCTGTCTGAACCCCAAAGCACTGTTCCGACGTGGGTTTAGGGTTTAGGGTTTACAGGGAACTCCAGAAAGTTGGAATATGGATTGATGGTAGGATCCCCGATAATTTACCTTAAAGGGGTTACGATAATGATATTCCAGCTTTCTGGCTTCTACTGTATGGGTTTAGGTTCTGAACCCCGAAGCGGAAATAGTTCCGCACACAGCGCGATCTCAAATTGGGAGAACCCCTTGCAATTCTTGTGCGTGGCATTGGTTGTTTAGGGTGTGGGGCTTAGGGTTAGGTTTATTGGATCAAAACAAAGCGAAGCTGTCCGAAACCCTGAACCCTACGACCCAAAGCCCCAGAAACGAAACCTAAACGCACCGAGTTTAAACGCTAGAACTTATTTGCCCGGCATCCTAGAAGAACTAACAGTGGGTCTTGGGATCATTGTACCCCAAGAAAGTTAAAGGCTTCCTACTCTACTACTTTAGAATGCTCCACCATAATGTAGGGACTTAATCATTTCAATACGGTTTTGGGGTTCTTATCATATACTCAAAATATAATCTACCCCCAAACCCTATACTAATTCAGCCCCTATCTTCAGCACTGCCATAGCATTTCTTTGGAGCAAGAACCACAAGAAGTCGCTCATCGGAGGGCCTGTGGCTGCAGAGAAGCCCCGAGATCGCATCGACCTTGTGTGCCGTAAGGCTTACTGTAAGAGCGTTTAGGGTCTAGGGCAGTTTAGGGGTGAGGGGTTTAAGGTTTAAGGTTTAGGAGTTTAAGGGTTTAGGGGTTTAGGGGCGTAGTGTTTAGGGTTTGAGAGCGGGCTGTCATGGGGCCTGGGTTTTGCATTTTATGTTTTTGGGCGTCTTTGGCGTTTTAGCATTATACGAAGCACCTATGCATGTGCATGTATGTACGTACGTATGTATATATATATATATATATGTATTTATACATGTGTGTGTGGTTGCAATTGCTTTGTAAAAGGCCATGAGGGCCTATGAACATATAAAATGCATACACTCGAATACACGTGCACATGTATATATTCCACAGCTAAACTTACATGAGCACATGCACTGTTTATGTGCTTGCATGGTCATGGTACGAATAATAATCGCTAATTATGGCACCCTGTACGCAGTGGACACCCGGCCACGTCCGAGCGAAACGAAAGAAGACAAAGTATTTCACGCACCGTGAATCTGTTTCCACAGCCTGGACTCTCGAAAATCTTTGGAGCCGTGTCGCCCGCCGTGTTCTGATTTCCTTGTGTGTTGAGTTGGCACATGTCCGTGAGTTTCCACTTTCTTCCCAGTTTGAAGATTGCAGTATTACCTACCTATGCGGGGCTTCACAACAGTATACAACAATGCTGACAATCGCAGGAATTTACTGCTGCAAACTGGGAGCATGTACATACATAGTATGTTTTATGCAGTGCTACAACACACATTGTGTCAGGGGTGCACACTGCCTGTATGTACACAAATCAGTGAGTAGTGTGTTTTAGATTTAGTTTCTATTGTAACGCAGTGCTACGTATTTGGAGCCTAGGGCCTTCCAGTTTCACAGCAATACATAGCTTTCTGTTCGGTTCATGTGATTTAGGTTGCGATGACCCTTGAACAGTTGTTTTCCCAGTTGCCACCCCACCACTTTCACATTAACACGGTCCTCAACTCGCATACACTCTGCATCATGGTTTTCCCAGTCGAAGATGCGTTTTTGTCGAGACCCACAATTTTTCAAAATATGGATGTATCACCACGTTCGTCGAAATCAACAGCACAAGGCAAGCGAATAGCGGAAATCAGCGAAACACAACAGCACACACAGTGTATATCGTCATATCCAGGAAGCAAAGGCTCGGAAGCCTTGCATTATGACATACATACAATACATCAGTGTCACATAAGTCACATAAGCTGATCTCGAAGTAAAGAACGCAATTTCCCAAAAAAACTGCTGTAGTGCTGGCAGTAGCAATGTCGGATATTGCCAGAATTTAGCTTCTATTGAAGAGTGAAACTATGATGGAATGTCAAAATAAGGCTTTGAGGGTTCTTTCTGGTCCCTAAACCCTAAACCCTAAACCGCCTTCCATCCTTACGACTGTCCTTGATGTGTACATCGCGACGGTCTGTGTACAGCCGAGACCCTGTGAACCGTAAGAAGATACAGCACTTCTGTAAGCAGCTCACGTGCCCTGAACAAACCATTTGTTCATAGACAGGGAAGGGTGATGCTATACAACTTGTTCACAAAGCATAAACTCATACACTTCAGACGCAAAAAGACATTGTAATTACCAGCGTTTTCACAACATCGGCGAACGAAGTTGTGTTGTATGCGAGAAATACAGCAACTCGACGTGTTCTTCCAAGGAGGATAGACAAAGTGGTAAAGTTTGTGGAAATGGTGCCAGCGCGCGCTTGGTTTTTGGTGTGTGGTGCATGGTGAGTGGGATTGGGGTTGGGGGTGGGGACGGGACGCAGTAGAGAGAGGGGAGGGGGGGGGGGGGGAGGGGGGGGGGGGGGGGGGTGGGGTCTTCTCAACATGTCAGCCCCAAACCCTCAGCCCCCCCCCCTCCCCCCCCCCCTCTTTCATCTTAGTTTGTAAACGCCAGCCCTGGTTATAAACACAAGCCATGCTTATAAACACAGACACTGTTTATAAACACAGGCCCTGCTTATAAACAACAACATTATTGATAAGCGACATAAATGTCTACAAGTACGAACAATACAGTACATAACCCAGAACTGTTTATACAAGCATAGGATAGCAAGATGATGTGAAACAAATCGCTGCGAAACCGCGAAACGTGATGTGTCCCAAACGCAGGCCCCATGGTAGCCCTTTCTGTAGGGTTTAGGGGCATGGAGTGACCACAAATCAACCCCCGTACAGATTCTGCAAAACTGTCTTCTGGTCAGCACTTTATCAACAAAGCTTTGCAAGCAATATTATTGACAGATGTGAAACTGTGTAACTCTCCGAAACACCAAAAAGATGTCTTCTGGCGCTCTTAAAGACGTGAAAGGAACGCGATGAGAGTCGGGGCAAAATAATTCACTGTTTTCATTAGGATAAGCTGCTTCTATAGTGCGGCGATCACCCAACTAGGATCTACTGAACACCTCTTGTGTGCATCCAGGACCCTGAACAGTGTTTAACAACACTGCATTTGTACGTGCAGCGGCAAGCCAGGCATCACTTCATGTTCTATGTTCGGGCTTTCGAGGCGCCTTCAGGCAAAACATGCCAGGAATGGTATACTCACTCAGAAGTGCATGAAGATCAGGGACATGTCCTATTCTGACACAACGAAACTCAACATAGAAGTGCAAATTTACCAACATGCCGCAGCAACATCACCACCAATGGAAGTACGGTACAAACCCCAACAGTAGTAGCAGTGACACAGCCAAGACCGGCAGAAATGACACGGCCTAACAGGATCATGAAGGTTCCACGAGAGGAACAAGAAGTTAGCTGGCGCATGGGCAAAAAGTCATGCAATAAGACGAAGAAACCAGCCGCTGTCTGAGACCGAAAGGCATGATCGACAGCGAAACGAAACCCACGAGCGAAAAAAATCTGACCAATACGGGATTGCAGGACGAAGGGACGTCTTGTGGTGTCAAGAACTTTCTAGGTCTGGGGCGGCGTTCTTGGATTTTGGAGCTGAGGAGTGTCCGCACGAAGTACGGCTCAGAATGTGTGTAAATCTTCCGTGGGCGTGCTCGGGAATCCGGCGCAAGCTCATCAAGATCTACACAGTTTCCACACCAACATGCGCGCTCGGTCGAACATCAGGATGTTTCGGAAAAGGACCCGGTACTTTGACAAGACTTCTTCTGTTGGCTCAATCCTGCTCTGCCAAGGTGCAAAGGCAGCGACGTGGGTGATGTACCTGAAAACCGTGCAGCATCCTCCCCAGCCCGTCCCTCTACCTTCTTATTCAACACTTTTAACTTTGGAGAACGCAAGACTGGGCTTCAAAGTAACTAGGGAGAAAAAGCAGAGACTCTATTTCATAATGGTTCCTTCAAGAGAAAATATTAAAGTATGGTACTCCAAAGCCCAGAAAAACAGTCTACACTTGCCAGCCTCGAAAGTGTTGCGCCCGGCTCAATCAATGAACTTCAACCCCTTAGCCGTAGGTTGGCCCCTCAAAGCGTTAGACAAATGCTCGTAGATAAAATCTCTTAGCCTGAGCAAGGAAGATACAGAATGTCCCAAACAAAGGCGTGCTTAGGTTTGCCTCCTGAGTCCAAAAACAAGGCTGTGAGCTGCAGCTGCTTTTGGGCGAGGCTTTTCAGGGGCAAGGGGTGTAACGTAGAGGTTGAAGGTTCAGCGCTTAGGGTTGAGGGGTTTAGGATTTAGTTGTCTTATTGGGTCTAAGTCTAGGATCTTGCGCTCGTAAGGAGTCAGCTTTCTGAAAGCCTCCGGTTTGACCTCGGCTTAAGCAAAACAGCCAAGCCGGGGCGCTGATGGTGTGTGATGAATGTCGCCTGCCCCATGTAGTCCTTGCAAGTGAACGGTTACGCAGCCGCTACAACTGCTGCTGCTGCAGAGGCATAAAGTGCTGCACCAACCACGATCTAATCCTACTACTACCACCAACTCGACGACGACGATGACGCGAGGACGACTGCCGGGTGTTATTGCTTGTTCTGTTACTACAGCGGTTTTTATTTCTACTCTGTTTGCAACTGTGTCAACTCTTGCGTTAACAACGAAGGCCGATGAACATGCAGGATGATGGCATTCGCTGCTTTGGGGTTCATGGTTCAGGCATGCAGGAACTGAGACTGGACTGATTTGGCTGTCAGGGTTGCATGGGCATGAATAATGATTTTATTGTCGTCCAGCTTTGGGAGCGGTGCGCATTATAAACTTGCAACATCCATTGACAAATCGTTGGTTAACACAAAAAACCTTTGACATGTGTTGGCAACTCTGCCAGCACTGCTGTGCGCTCAAGTTCGTCAAATAAAGCGACAACTCAAAACAGATTCTTGAACCTCAACCGAGACCGTAAACTCTAAACCCTTAATGAATCCTACTGCATCTGTCTGACACCAGGCATTCGGAAAGCCAAACTGAAACAGCAACACACTCAATTCATGAAAGCAGTTCTTTACGAAGGTATGAAGCTGTCCTATGGTTCCGGTATGTTCCAGCTTCTTCGCATGATTCTCCGCTTCCGGCATCGGGCTCAGGAAATCAGCCTCTCAACCTTCCAATCTTACACATAGAGCCCTCAGCTACTTAATCCCTACACCTCAAACCGAATCCCCACTCTGAATCCGAAGCCCCCTAAACCCTAAACCCTAAACCCTAAACGCACATCTTCTACAACATCTAAAACCGAAGCCCTTCAGCGTAGAAGGCAGAAAGTTAGAGCACAATTATCCCAAGGGTCCAAGTAGTCCTTATTTGTGGTTTTGATACCTAAAAGGGCCCTAAAGTCCTGTAATAGGGAGCACTTGGACCCTCTGGGATTATCCTCATGCTCCGAACTATCCTCATGGGTTTTGGGTTTAGGGTCATGCCCCGAACATAGCTGGGGAATCCCTGCAGTTGTTGTTATCCGAGATCCAGGTTCCCCTTTCTGCTACGGTTCACTACACAAAACCTCTAAGCAAGTAAACCTTAAACCCTAAACTTTACTTTATATAACCCTCAACTCTAGACTCTACTTTATGTAACCCTAAGTCTAAGCAAGTAAACCTTAAACCCTAAAGTTTACTTTGTATAACCCTCAACTCTAGACTCGACTTTATATAACCCTAAGCCCTAAACTTTACTTCACATAGCACTGCACCCTAATCTCTATTTCATATAACCCTAAACTTTATGTGACCCTACACCAGGGCATCCCATACACCCTCAGAAGTCTATACCCCCTAACCCTAGCCGAAGCACGTAGATGTCTCGGAAGGTGCCATTCGCCAATTGCAGCTCAGGGCAAGCATCCATACAGGAGGCCTGTGAGCTTGCAAAAAATACAAGGGTTTAGGCTTAGGGTTTGGGATTTACGTTTTTTTGGAGATTCTATACGATCTTTTAAGATATCTCTGGGGCTTTCGTGGTTTCATGGCTTCAGACGGCTTCAAGCGAAAGCCAGAAGGTCGCATAAGAGCTTGTTTGCGGGTCTTACAGGGCTGTGCAAGGATGCTCTGAAATATTCTCAGCTTGTACGTATAAGAATGCATGAACACAGGGACACGACAGTAAACTATAGCAGTTCGAACTGCGCGGACCAGAGCTGGGTTCTTTGGGGAATATGACGGTTTAGGGTTTAGGGGGTCTAGGGTTTATAGGGTTTAATCACAATGGTTATGATGAGGAAGCCTGCGGAATAATGGTATGGGAAACTATGTGGTACTTGGCCAGGCCGAGACCGGAAACTACGTTACATGGGACGAAGGATTTGGAGTCAGGTCTTTCAGAAATGAAGTTCGGGGTGCAGGAATTTCATACGAGGGCTTGACTCATTCCAACAGGGCTTGGCGGGGTTCTGGGGTATGTCCGACGATCATCATGATATGAACTATTAAAGAAATACTTTCTGAGGTTATTTGAGCTTGGGAGGCGGTGTTGGGATGCTTTGGCTTTGGAGCTCGCGAGTTTCGTTGGGAGTTTCGTGGCAATTGGTGTAAGTGCAGGGTCTTGTTTATGCCGTCGGGGTTGGGTGAGACTTCTCACTTAGAGCTCTGGCGTGGGGTATATGGCATGGGCATACTTCCACCCAGACCTTCCAAAATCCCTTAATTAAGGAATATACCTTACATCATATGAGGGATCCTATTATTAAAGTTAAGGTATATTCTTTAATTAAGGGATTTTGGAAGGTCTGAGTGAAAAATACCCAAAGCTTTTCAAGGACCTGAAGCCGTGCGAGCTTCCCGGCTGGACTCCGGCCAAGGTGCTGGGAAAGGCGTCTGCATTGCCTTGGGGGGTGCAGGATTGAAGGTTGAAGTTGATTGAAGTCCCAAAGGGTCCTATGTATTCTTATGGGGGATACTTCCCTAAGTCATAATCGTAATTCCTAATATGGAAACCCTACATTCTACTATATCGGTACATTGGACCCTTTGGGAGTGTCTGGGGGCCTAGGAAAGATATGACGTAAGGCTTTGGCGTCAGGGGCTTAAGCATCGGTCCCGAAAGCTGAATAGACTCTTAGCTGCTCCGGTGCTGCGGGCCTCTTATGGCTCTATAGGATCTCATATTTGCTACTGTTGTCAGACCTGACTTCGGACAAACAAGCTTAAAAGGGTGTAGGCGTTTAGGACAAGTTATCGATCATAATTCCGAGTCACGAACAATCGAGAACTTTTCAGAACGAAAGCGTGAATGTTCGACAGTGCCACCGCGAAAGCCTTGGGCCTTGGGAGTCTACCGTTGGGTGTAAAGTGTAGACAGTTTGCACCTGAACGCATCCATATCAAACTCAAAGCCTATCTTCAAGAACGCCCTCTTCCGCGTTCCTTCGACATGTGCACATGAACATGTTTCTGGGGTGGTGATTCTTGGAACTGTGTGTTCGCCCAATTTGTGTGAAAGGGCTCCAGTTGCCGTTATAATAGTCAATCTTTTGGGGGAATCCTAAAGCCCACGGAACTGTCGGATGCTCAACCCAAGACCCTAAACCCTAAACTCCTAAACCGCTCATGGCATCTTTCAAAGACCTGAACTCATGTAAGTCCTGAACTCAGCTGCAATTCAGTGTAGGGGCCTTAATGTTCTAACGCAACCCTATTCTACTCTAAGGCCCCTACACTACATCGAGGGCCTTGCCTAAGCTTAAGACTCAACCCAACACCTCAATCTAAGCCTCAATGGGTTCGAAGCCGTGTAACACTAACCGTAGAAATCTCCATTCGTGCCCCAACGCCCATATGTCAGGCTCTTACAAGGACCTCCATCATGGCAACATAGGGATCGGAATACTCGAAACTGATATCCCCCCATATTCAAAACTCCCTATACCTATAGCATACTGGACCCCTACAATCCACAAGAATCATAACGTTTAAACTCCTGTGGAGAACAGGACTAAAGCTTCGCGCTTCAGCTTACCGGGCAAGGGCTGCTTGAACTGCCGCCGGGGCACCGTCATCGCCTGCAACCGCCGCACTGGCAGTCGTCCATGTCCTGCTTTTTGGTTTACAGACTCATAGAGTCTAGACTTGTCCTTTTTTGGCTTTAGACGTCCCTTTTCCGTTCGCCGAGGTCTTAAAAGCAATTCCCTTGGCCGGGGTTTAGGGTTTAGGGTCTGCGGCGGTGACAATGCAATAGGTCGTGGGTTTTTGAATTGGATGCCTCTGTCACGTGGAAACGAATAGTTCTTGATAAATGTGGATGTACAAAACTAACCCCGTTGCTTGGGACCTACTTGTGAGGGCAAGGCACAAGAAAATGAGAAGGGCAGCACCTGCGTCTGAGGAGTATGCAAAATGGAGGAGTTTCAATCAAACATCCAGCTAGAACGTTCCAATCAAAGCGCACACACATCGAGCAGCTGCGAATAGACATCATAACAGACTGCTTCTCGATGCTGCAATGCTGCATCCGCATGGAGCCTGCAACACCCCATGAACAATGAACTTATCCCTAAACTTCCGAGTATACAGCATCTATAGTCTTAGGATCTAAAGAGGCACGTTGGCAGCTTGAAATAATGAACTCGCCAGCTGCGATTCAGAGCTACATGTCACGGGACTTCAGAAGACAAAGATCTGAAATACCTGACCTGCTTCTGGGTCTGCATGTGAAGTTGAGAAGACTACAGGGTATGTATAGACATATATATATATATATATATGTTGTATGTACAGTACATACGGATTTTCCATGGAAAAACACCCCTTCGTCTTTAGGGCACTACTGTAGAAATGCTTTGCTTTCAAATTCAAATTTAGTATTTGGCCGCCAAGAACACCTGTCGAAAGGGTCGCGTTCTCGCGTACTGCCAAAGCTCGTTAACTACTGTTATAATCGGTTGAAATGAACAAGAGTAGCAACAATACTGATAGCAATAACTAATGTTGGGGCCTTAACCATTGAACAAAAGTTGGGGTGAATACTCTACCATAGGTATGAATGGACTATAAGGGGAAATCATCAACATATTGTTTGGAACCTTATAGTATAATATAATGTATTAATAACAATAATCAAAAAAGTGAATAACTATATATATATATAATAGAGATATATATATATAAAGCAAAAATTTTCGGATAGGGCGTGGGCGCCAAGTGTAGGGATAACGGAATAATCAGCGCCGACTGCTGAGCATGCGCCTGCAGCAGCGCCCACTACAAGGGCCAGGCGGAGAACCAGCTCGAGCATCTGCATTGCTGCCTGCCTTTCCGGGCAAGAAAATCGTAATTGCGCCGCTGCCAGGTTCATGTTTGGAGTTATTATGGGGGCATGATTACCCATTCGCGGGTCCAAGTTGCAGGATTTACAGCACGCTTCTTGCCATACCAAACCCAAGCATGTGAGAGAGGCGACTCCTTGCGAAACTGTTGAGCGAAGTGGCAGCTGGCACGCGGAAGGGCGAAGCTTCGGTGAGAAGCTGCTGATGCCGCAACCCGAACCAATCAGAACTTGAGCCGTAATCTGCAGATGAAGGCACTCACTACACACTGAACCCTGCGAGTGTGCGTGCTGCATGAATTTGATACGGCTGAGACTCGGTTGAGATGTTAGGGGTCTGCTGTTTGACATGCAAGGCGTTGGGATGCGTTGAACCTTTGCTTCTCTGTCCAACGAAGCGGTGCGAACTCATCCTTAATTAACAGGATTGCATGTTCTTTTGAGAAGCGGCTGCAGTCGTCTTACCATCTTCATGGGTGTGCTGTCAGTGGCTTGCTACTGCTAATTAGGAAGGACGGTGACAAGAATTGCGCAGCGCTGTGAAGCTTCAAAGCATCTGGCAAACGTTTGAAGAAACCTGGCATCCGTCTAGCATCTTCCGCTGGCATGCACAAACACCTGCAACGCAATCCGATCGCACGCAAGTGCAACCTTGACGATACACTGCACGCGCTCGTGGATCATTTATCGTCCGCCCTGCCCCCCCCGGTCACAACGACGAACGCAACAACATCACTGGCCAAAGCTCCGTCACACCGCCCGCAAACATCACCCCCTTCCGCTTTTACAAACACAAACATCAACGTCTACAAATCTGGACACGTCAAGTGGGAACAGCTTTGCGAATAAATGCGCATAAACTGCACCAAAGGCCTCATTACCGTCGCGACCGTGGAACCCCGAAAGCTGGGACATCACGCGATCTTTTGCTCGCGCATGCGCATGTGTCAGTGTGTTAAAGCAATTCTTGGCCGGGCTTGATTCTTTGCAAGTGGACGCACAAAAACACCTACATCTGTTGAACTGCCTGCATAATTACTCAAGATGCGATTGCAATTGTCGTCACAAGTACTTCGGATGACCCGATCCTGCACTCCCAAAACTCCGTACCCCAATATCCTCAAACCGGATCTAAACCCTGAACCTAAGCCCTTCTTCCAAGATCCAAAACCCTACCTAAATCCTAGCGCAAAAAACCCTTACACCAAACCCAAACCCATGTTTCGAAGAACTCAAAACCCCAAACCCAAAGCCCTTTTTCAAAACCCGAAAACGTAAAACCCTGACTAATTGTTCCCTTGGCTCTTTAGCTCCTTATTCAATAGGTATTTTGATCGGGATTATCATCATCCCTGGCTCCTTAGCTTCCGCCTTCAACGCTTGAACATAATCTCCCGGCCCAAGCTCACAAGGACCAGCAGGCTCGCGCCTCCGAAAAGCCCCCTCGGCTGCAACAAGGACGGACGTTAACGTGTAGGGTCTACGGGTTCTTTCGTTTTTTCGCTCCTAAAAAAAGGGTAGGGGAAAAAAACCGTAAACCCAAACGTAAAGGTTTACGGTTTCGGAGTTTAGGGTTTAGGGATGTTTAGGGTTTAGAGCTTCGGGTGGGTTTTTGGGTTTCGGGCTTAGGGCTCCGGTGGCATTATGGCCAAAATGTTTCTATCATCAGGATTGCTGCTTCAAATTCGGGTACAGCGTGCGGCAACCATTGGGGCCCTGCTAACTCCCGTACAATATACGGCTTTGGGTCACACTATATTGTTAAGTTACTTAGGCTTAGCCATATCACTAGCCCTGAGGAATGCTGTTACTATAGGCCCCTGAGAAACCTGCCAGTGAACGCCGTGCTGCACGTTTTGTTGCACGGGATCCTCGAGGAAGAAGGCTGCTTCGTATTTACTGTGGGTGCCGCTTCCTGGTTGAAACAAATTCTGCACTTTCAACCAAGAAACCCGGAAACTTGGTGGTACCAACCGCAAAGAGTTCACTCTCCTGCAGTATTGTGTAACAAAACTCCCTGGCTCGCCCTTACCCAGAATCATATCAATCACAGCCGCTGTGCTGTAAACCCCAGGGCATGTCGATGTCTTCACTCCCCACTAGCAGGGACGAGCCTGCATGTTGACTTGGGATGTTTAGTAGTGTATCAAACCCCCGAACAGCAAACCGGTTACAATGAGTCCACCACCGTGAAACGAATCTCAGCTTGAACTACATGCCTTTCGTGATAACCAAGGGCAACAAACACTGTTGTTCTTGCTTCGTCAACTGCTCTGCCTAACACGGCCCCAACCACCATTCACCATCATCTTGGCCATAATCAGCCACTGTACAACATACATCTTTGGGACTATGACTCGGCATGTGATTGCATGCCGACACCTTGTTTCGAAGCGGAAAAGGAGGGACCCTTCATGGGGACCCCTACCCTATAATGGGCTATTAATGGGTATATTCTGTGTATACACCTTGGGGTCCTTATTAAGGGTCCCTCCTTTTTCCCTTGGATTGCTCAAAGGGCACAAGCGCCTTGATACAATCCTGGTGTTTCGCGGGCTCGAGAACTCTGGGAGCTTCAAGGTTGCACTGAGATGCGGAAGCTTACTACGTGGGCCTTGTGTGAGGACTTTGAGGATTGTTTTTTGGGGGGTTGTCCTAGGAGCGAAGCGATGTTGAATCTGAAAGACACGGCTTAACTGGCTTAACTACGGCTTTCAACTTTTCAAAGCTCTCCAAGTTGCAAATACATGCCGACCTTCGCCCTCACAGCCTCTCGTTCGGCCTGCCAACAGATTAGGGTTACCCTAAGCGCAGAAAAATACTTGATGAGGACGTTTATACATGTCTATGTTGTATGTCATTCTCTGTCTCTCTCACGTATGTGTATATCTATATACACATATGTGTATGCTTATACATGTGTACATACATATGCATATATAGGTGTGTTTATAATACAGGAATTTACGAGTATCATGGTAGGGAACCCTAGAAAAGTAGGCTGTTCAGGTGTCAGGGGTTAGGTGATCCTCGAGGATCAGAACATCTGAACAAAGGCTCGGGGAGCAGAATCTGATACTTTCAGCTGCTGTGCTTCTGCATGGGAAGCTACGGTTTAGGGTTTACGGTTTCTAGATGGCTCGTGGCTTGCATGTTCACAGTTTTCCACAGTTCCGCAAGAACTCCCAGACCATGTACCGTCAGCGCTTCGAACGCTGACGTCTTCCCCAAGTTCTTGCTCCTCAATGGATTATGGTTCAGGCCTGTTTCAGGGCTTACAGGTTTGAGGATCCAGAGGGTTTACAATGTTCAGGGTTGATGGCTCGATGTTTCACTGCTGCTTCCAGCATTGACATCAACTTGCCCCCGACAAACTCTGGCGGCGGAGAAACGAGCTGTTAAAAGAGTTCTCATGACGCTGATGTCTTTGCAACGAGTGTGGAAGCTATGGCACAGCTTCGCTACTACATGTGACTGCCTACATAAGTACGCATGGGTCTCTCCGCTGAGATCGCGGCGTCAGAACGATAAAGGAAGCAAGCCGCTTGCCTCAGAGTCGCGAGATGCAGTGCTTCTGAGGAGTTGGTGATGGTACGGAGAAATGTAGTTCAAAAAGGGCGGAGTCAGAAACAGACCTTGCCACAGTTGACAGGCTTACCCATGTAAACTAATGCCGGTGAATGTTGTGGTATCGGTACGGGAAGCGCGTGTGGAGGCATTGACGGCTTGTGACCTTACTGCAAGCGCAAGACATGTTTCAATCCAAGTCCCAAACCCCAAACCCAAAGCTTAGCCGCGCTGCCAATGACATATCCACAACGTTTGAGCATAACCTCCGTCTAAACTTCGTCTGGATCTCTGAAAAGCCCGAAAAAACTGCCCATCCTATGGATACTGTACTTTACACTTTAACCTCATGCTGATGCTGTCACGACTACTTCTTGCCCACTGAAGCCACCAAGGGCCTGAAAGCCCTAAAGGCGAGTCACCAGCCAATGGTGGTGCCACAGCCGAGACCCAAAACAAAGGTCATGGACGCCAGCTTCATGGGAACAGCAACATCGCCTTCTTAGGATGCAAGTCTATAGATTCTGTATGGCAGCTGGTTCGATGGATTTCGTATCTGTGCAAGGAACGTGAATAAAGGGTGGCATTCACTTGCAATCTCTGTGCTGTTCCAATGCAGTGTGTGCACAGACGTAATTCTAGCAGACTCTAGCTAGCCAAACCCACATCGAGAACCTTTATTTACGCCTTGGGCCGACATTGGGGCGCCACTGCAGGTTCAGGGCTACACGGCTCAATGACACGAAACATTCATCGAAGCTGGGTCGACATATCATTGTACAACACTCTCTTCTCAGATCGGCTGACCCTGTAGGGCTCAACGGCGAGAGTTCGGGCCAGAAGATGTTTTTCATGCTCCATTCGGCTGAGCTTGAAACCACTGTATAAGCTTCGAAGCTGCGGATTTTCCAATTCAAGGGAAAAACAACACCAGGCCGAAAATCTCGATTTCAAGCACATCGTGAGCTCGGATGTTGGGTCCCTGCCAATTGAACTGAACGTCTCTAAGCCGTCGTTGGATGTTCTAGAACGTTTACCATTAGAATAGGGTGCTGCAGGCCATGATGATATAGGTTAAAATGAAATATGACTAGTACTGACGATTAGTTCCGCTTGACGCATGGGTCGTGGGTTGACCAACACCTGTGAATGTCAGACTGTTTTACACGGAACTAGGCGGGGTGGTCGGACAAATGCTTTCAAGATCCAAGTTTGAGCGCAGTCGGTGGGGACAAACGCCCTCCAAGCCAAAGCTGCATACGTGGAGATGGAAAGGGAAAGTCCTTCTCAACTTTTGGAATCTCATAGCCTAGCACTCATGCCTCCAAAGAACTTTGGGGCGTAGCTTCGGTGTACTGAACAAGTGCATATTGTTTGTGGCACGTCCAAGAGCAGCCCTGGAAGCCCTTCACCACCCTTAACCCAAAGCCTACCCAGAGGCTCCATAGTAGTTCCTTTTTAGGGTTCATATTTAGACTCCTATAAGGTATCCCCAAAAAGGAACTACTTTGGAGCCTCTGGGTAAAGCAATGGAACCTCGAGTCAAGAACAAACGACGATGCACAGCTGTGTGACACCGCCGTAGACATTGTCTTCATCAGAGTCATCATCATCATGATCATCAGCAAATGCCTGCAATGAGAAGTTCAGCAAATTCAAGAGGCCACGGGCGATGGGTTCCGACAAGTTGGCGTTGGTTTGATAGCCTCCAAAATCGAAGCGCGAAAGCTTAAACCTTAAACTCCTAAAACCTAATTCCTCAGCGACTTGTGTACTAGATAGCTAGATGTAGATACTAGTTATGCTGTTGTATCTTTGTGTTCTTCGGACGGGGGTGTAGAAATTACTCATAAACGTCCAGGCCACGGATCGATGAAGCTACTGGTGCAGGGGTCTTGGCAATTAGGCTACGTTTTGGGGTCTTTGATAGTATATGCATATATTGACTACAAGGGGATGTTATGACACTAAGTAGTCCGCCTATACTGTATAAGGCAAGGCACTGGCAGCCATACGAGGAACGAAGGCAATGGAAGCACTCAGCCAGCTCTCTTCAGCTGGAGGTGCGGTGCTGCAGGACGTAATGCAACACGGTGGCTACAGTTGGCTGCGGCTCAAACAGAAAACTGCATTTCATGCAACATGCTTGTAGGTTCGACATATCACAGAACGGCCATGAATATGAATATGTATACTATAGACTATAGAATACATACATAGCTGTTCGCATTGGATGTTCAAAGACATTTCTGGTGCTCGACACGGCAGCCACTTAGCTGTGACCAGTGGCAGCAGCTGGTCCATTGGGCTTCTGTAGCTCTATTATCTTATCTTTTCTTAGTAGGGAATGGAGGAATGGTGGGTACAATTATAACTACTACTATTACTACCGTTCTTCCATTCCCTACTAACCAAAGGCAAGCTATGCCGGATGCCGTGACGCTCTCTCTCTCTCTCTCTCTCTCTCTCCCCTCTCCCGTGCCGCTGTGCTCCCATATTACTTCGTCTTCATTCTTTCATTAGCCAGTATTCGCGCAGCAACGAAGGAACGGTGGGCACACTCCACTGTACCAAGGCTCTCGCTGTGCTGCGGCGTCATTGGAAACTCCTCTAGGGTAGTTAAGCATTGTCCCATGTTAGTTCTGTTCCTGCCTCTGCACCATGCAAGAACTGAAGCCGATCGATATCTCTAAAGCGTCTTACTCTTGCAACGTCTTACAGAGCCACAGAATTCGGCCAACGGAGCTGTTCGCGGTGGTCTCGCTCTACCCGCCGTTACTAGGTGGTGGACTGGGGCACATGCCTGTATGAAAGTTAGACCGTTAACCCCGAAGCCTAAAGGGGTTATACCACGGCACCTTATATTTAGGGTGCCCAAGAAGGAGTCATAGCTTTGACAACTACCCATATTTAACTCTTGAATCTACACCCTGAGCATCCCAGATTCTTACACTCTAAGCCGTGGTGTAGTCCTCCGCTGGTCTTTCCCTGGCCTGTCTGAGGTAACCCGCGCTTCTTTGGTGTGCTTCTTTAAACTTATTCACGACGGGTGGAGACGGTTGACTGAAGCTCGGGTTGAAATCTCATTCATTTTTTTCGTGTTAGGCCAAGGCTTTCGGGGATTTTCCGGCCCCGGCTGTCGTAGAACCATTTTCCGAAGCCTGCAGGTACCTTGCGCTCTCGTTTGTAGCGAGGCCCCATTGCCGTCTCTTTCGACGAAGAGGGCCTGCCGAAAGTCCTGTACAACATGAGCAATCCTGAACTCGGGACTTTATCCAGCAACGATCTCTATGGTAGAGGGCGTCTGTCTACACAAGAAGATCAGGAACCCATTCTAAAGTCCTAAACCCTAAACCCTGATGTATGATGTTTGCGGCGAGGTGAATTGAAAGGTTGGGATCGTCTGTTAGACTTTGGCAACTCCCAACATGTCCATGACGAACTGAGCTCTTCAAAAGGTGAAAGCCTAAGAAAGAGCGCATCGACATAACAGTGTAAATGCATATACATCAATGTAGAAAGGTGTAAGCGTCAAAACACAAATCTAGCTAGTGGAACGTATACGTTTATGTGTTGTAATTGTGTGTGTTTTTATTCTTCGTGGATTATGCATACCCACCAATTGCCCAAAACTTATGCGTTCGCATGTACATGTGTATCTTGACATATACATATGTAAATATGTATACACATATGCAAGCATGCATGGACGTACATGAGCATGCCTTCCCACATTGCAATCGCACTTTGTGCTGTCGCCAGCCTCCCTTGCTTGAATACATACATCTGTGTGTATATAAGTCTATATAATATATATATATATACATGTATATACGTATATGTATGTGTGTGTGTGTGTGCGCGCGTTGTCTGTGTATGCATGTACGAGGGCCCCAGCCATACGCGCATGGGGCATAGACATGTCTGCATGTATGTCATAGCTGTAAAAAAATATGTACGTAGCTAGCTATCGTAGAGTATGCTTGTTATATAAACTCTAAATCACAAGATCACTGGATTCGCTGTGAACGCCTCGAAACAAGCCCCAAATACGTGCGCGAGCTCTTGCTCTGTAGGCAGGCGCAGGCGCTGCCGCTTTGGCAGCACCTGCCGCCCACACAGGCGATAGGATGATGCAACGGTCTCATGCTGTACAGGGAGCTTGGAAGTAGCTGTGACGAGCATTTGCCCTCAACGTTCCTACACGGCTCTGATCCATCTGTACAGAGATCGCTGGGCACAGCGCATGTCACAGCCACCGCCGGAGAGACAATCTAGACTAGACCTAGAGATGAAACTCTATCGAGGCTGCGCTACAGGCATGTCTTGCCGTCGTTCGAATGGTACAGCGATATCGCGACATCAGATGGTCGCGTAACGCCAGAAGGATCACCAACGCGCTGCAGCCTCGCTGGGCTCTTCTGCAAGTTCGCCGGATGGTGTGGTATGGCAGATGCTGTACTATACTAGTATCAGATTATGCCATGATACATTGTACTATAATTCTGTCATGTCTTTCTGGTACCTCGAGTTGCGATTGCTGCGAACCAGCAAAGACTTCGCTATGGGCAGGTCAAAACCTATCATCTTGCTTGATGCTTCGAGTTATCGGGGAAGCCACAGCTTGCTACAAGTGGCTGATGGATCCCTGAAAGACCATGGCCTGCTCAATCGAAACAAGTGTTTTAGGGTTTGGGGTACTTCAAGAAGCACTGCATTTCTCAAGAAGTCTGGTCGTCTGCGGCTTCAAAAGGGTTCCAGAAGTAAGGTGTGAAAGTTGATGCTGGTTGTACTGAACCATGTATCGGTAGTACTGGAGCCATGACGGGGCATCGCGAAGTGCTTGTGATGCAGGTGGGGCAGTGATTAAAATCCCAGTTGGTCCCAGCCGAAACAAAGTCGATTGCAGACGGCCTTTGCGAAGTGATGAAGTCTTTAGGGCTTTGAGGCTACGGCTATTTGTAGGTCCTTTAGGAAACGGTGAGGTGCAAACCTCTTCAGGTTTTAAGCTGCTTGGTTTTCCAAGGGGGGTTCCAGCCATTCTGGGTCTGCAGATCCCCAACTCAAAGGGTATAAGGAGGGACCCTTAGGTATAGACCCATAGTATAGCTATTATGTACCCATTATATTATAGGATAGGGGTCCCCATTAATGGGTCCCTCCTTTTCCCCTTTGATCAACAGCTACCCCGTGCACTCGACCTCAGGTCCTCGATGTTTTGCGCTCTTTGGGTCCGAACCCCATAACATCAAGATGCGGGCACTAAAAAGGTCAACGCGCACACACACAGGTATATGTATATATATATATATACATACATACACGCACCCCTACATGCCTACACCTATCTCAAGATCCAAGGTCTGACATACGTTCCACTAGTGCAGGGGAGGCACATACCTTGCAGCATCCTCATGCCGCCCATCAGCTCATCATGCCTCCTCTGCATCTGCTGCTCCCGCGCCTGGGAGCAGGTTCGCGCTATCCTAAACCCGTCGAGCTGAACCTCTAACCCTGAGCCTTTCGCCAGGGTTTTCGTGCATTCTCTGCCCAGTTCTTCGCGCACTGACATGGTCGCGTGAAAAGTCTGGTTGCTGTAGCAGATAAGTTCAGGGGTATGGTATACCATATGAGCAATAAAAGGTGCTACAACTGTTACTAAGTATGGCGTTTGGGCCCGTCCCTTGAAGTGAAATGGACAATTACTGCAACTACCCACTGTCAAGCTTTGGTCGGTGAAAACTGGACTGCTATAAAGGCCTAAATGAAGTGTGCCCACTGCCGCCTAACCATCTAAGAAATAAAGGAGCGAAACATGCAGGAACGAAACAAGGGGAGAATAGGCGTACTAATTATTCAGACACAAAATACCATTTCCTCCATTGTGGTTCCTTTTTGGGGCTTCCTGAAAGGATCCTTACTATATAATTGGTTGAACCAAAAAAAGGAACCGCAATGGAGACTAGAGGTAGAAACTAAACAGCCCAAGACCTAGGCCACATATCTTACTTTTGGTTCGTATGGACTGGAAGAATGGTAGCAATAGTAGTTATAATTGTACCCCATTCCTCCATTCCCTACTAACCAAACCTTAACCTACCAAAACCTACAAAAAAGTAGGATCCCTATAAGTTCCATATTAGGGTTTATAATAAGAACCTGAAAAAAATGGGTTTGGTTGGTTAAGGAAGGTATATAAGCTAAAGCACCTTTGCTTGGCTCATTTCGGCGCGAAGCGCCGCCAGCTCCATCATCGCGGCCGTGGAACCTTAGGGGCTCTACGGTTTAGGGTTTAGGCTTCGGATCTTTCGAAGAGTTTCTATAGAGATTCGTTTTAAGGATTTGAGGGTCCTAGGGAGTTTATAATCTTTTTTTGCGTTTAGGGATCTCAGGGTTATTCGGGTGTTTAGGGTTCCGGGTTTCTTCCGGAGCCTGGGGCTTTTGTTCAAGAGCTGAACGATGCGAGCCTCTTGAACAGAAACCCTCAAAACTTTTGAGGGTTCGGGTTTAGGGAAAGCCCCAAATCCCAAAACTTTGAGGATTGTTGGTCTTATCGGTTGTAGGGTTTAGGAAGGCCGACAAGGCTTTGGCTTGCAGCCGTGTCCAACACGGACTGCCAAAGCATCCTAGAATCACTAGCCCTAAACCCTAAACCCTAAACCGTCGAAATCCAACCTGAGAAGTCCTGCCTGGACCCTCAAAGTATGTAGAATAATAGCCTTTTATAGGGCTTGGGCCATTATTTTACATCCTTTCGGGGGTCTAGGTGAAGCCCTAGAGTTAAGGGTTTTGGGCCGGCTGAAAATCCCATATCCGAATTCCGCAGCCGAAGCCGAAAGCCGGACACCGTAAGCCCTGTAAGACCTAGAGACACTAAAGCCTAATCCAGGACTCCTCGCGCAGAGCATCCAAGGAACCCCACTGAGAGACGGCGCCTTTCGGTGGGTCGCGGGAATGGGTTTTTCTGTTTTGACGCCGCTTTCCGTCACATTTTGCATTGAGTTTAAAGCTGTGTCTGTTTGAGAGGGCTTCGTACGGCTGCTTCGTACGGCTGCTTCTGTGTGTTTTAAATGGCGGGTCTTATGAGGGCTTTCCTGAGGGCTTTGCCAAGAGGGTTTACCCAAGTAAGATTTGTAGGGTGCTTATTGTAAGAACGACCTCGAAACACAAGAGTCGAGAAACTCCAGGCTTCATCATTCCAATCGGGTAATTAGGCGAACAGGCAGTTTGGAAGGTTTCAGGAGCGGCAGTTGTGACTCTATCCAGACTCGCTTGGGTTGGTTTCGGCTTCGATCCAAAACTGATGGCGTAGTGCATGTCTGTTCGGGCACATCTTTGTTTCCAGCCAGCGGCTGTGGAGTGCAATTGTCTGTACAGCATTTCCTCGCCATGGGGGGGGCTTCGGCTCACATCTGGCTAGTATTGCTTTGATCACGATCTGGCCCTTACAAACCAGAAGATCATGCTTCTTCCTCACTGAAGCCATGGACACTTGAGCCCCCTGTAGGCCCCAAGACTGCATGTCGTATGGTGAAAATTGCCGGCATGCTGCTATTGGAGTTGCGGTATCCACGAGGCGACAGCATAAGTTCGTTGAGATCTGCACTGTGAGAGCGCGTGGCATCGCCAGCAGAGAGCTTGCTGAGCTTCCTTATCACAAGAGGCGGTGGCATGTTCAGCCGGCCAACACCACAACCGCCGCGGCAGCATCTGTGGCTGTCGTCTTACATGCGTGTCAGACTGTCAGACATTGCGACAAGCATCCGAACTCCGGATTTGGCATTGCGAAGGAAACGCTGAATCTGTGTGGCTGCCCAGTGGTCGTAGGTCAGTGATGCACCTCGGTGCAGAGAGCCTCAATACACGAAACAGGGTTTTGGGGTACGTAAGTTTTCGCATAAGATAGCGTTACAAATACTACTTTACAGGCAAACCTGAGGAATAACAGAAGCAAGGTCTCACCTTTGTGCATTCGACTTTGTCCAACTTACACACGTGCTTTAACGGCCCGATGCCAAGCTTGCGAGCTGCTGGCATAATGTCGAGGTACACAGCTAATTCTAGTTCGCTCTGTCTCTCTCTCTCTCTCTCTCTCCCTCTCTCTCTCTGCCTCCATCTGTCTTTCTTATATAGAGATGGACAATCCGGGAAGCCTCAGTGGAGTGCCATGCATCTTTTGCACAGGACCCCTGGTTTGAGACACCTGTCCGCCGCGCCAACTCGAAACTTGGATCTGACAAGTTGCTATGCTGTTGTCGTAGGCGCTGCCGGCGAGCTTCCCGACGCAGGGAGTAATTCCGCCAGACGGTCGCGTACTGCGGAAAGTCACGGCACAAGTTGGTGTAGTCGCCTGCACTGTCAACTGCTGCAGCGGGCTGTGAGGCAATACTGCGGGATCGGACATAGCCTTGTGGGGTGGTCGGCAACAGTCAACAGTCTGGCCCCGTTTTATAATTTGCTTAAACTATCGGCCCTGTTCCGTTGAAGGCTTGCCAACTATCCTCGGTCACGATAATTACGAGAACTTGCAGTGGCTTTCTGGGCCGCAGAACTCGAAATCCCTCCACTGGACGTAGTCCCTAACTGTGCATACACCCTAAATAAAATATACATCCTGAATCGCATCAACATACCCCATGTCCGTGTCGGTTTAGGCAATGAGGGTTGTGGTTTTAGGAGCGTGTTTGACACCCGTTCAACCCCAGCCCGCTAGCCAGAAACACCGGTAGCATCTGGACTCGAAAGCGCAGAAATCTGGATTCTAGATGGATCTTTGGTTCGGGCTTCGGTTCTAGATGGATCGTTGATTAGACTCCCGCCTTTGGGCAAACGCAGAACTTCCCCAGCCAGCTCGCACCGGACTGTTCCAGGCCGGTGCAGAGTGATCTCTGATTGGAGTTCCTGGAAGCTTCGGCATGCGTGTTCGTTTTCGTCCTTGCGTTTGTAGCTCCTTCAGGTTCGCTTCCAGCCTTGCTTCGTGTAGGGCGCATGCTTGTCTTTCCTTTCGTTTCTTCGTGAGCTCTTCCAGTCGACCTCGATTAAGTTCTGGTGCTGTGCCTGAATCAGAAACAGAAGACCTCCTAAAACAGCCAGTCTCAGAGCTCTAGCCTTCGATGCCACATAGAACCAGGCTAAATCGCAAAAAGGCTGAACCTTACAGAATACGCCCCAAACTTGGATCCTCAAGGGATGGGTTTTTTTCAAGGGAGGTAGATAACCTAGTATTCCCCAAGTCTCCTGGTACTCCCGATGCAAGCACTCCCCCTAAGGGACACTCTATCCTCACCCCGCAATCCAGACGGAAACTCTCCGATCTCTGCCGGGCTCTCGGTCTAAGATTTCTGCCCCTTCCTGCCCACGTTTTCCCCTAGACAGTCTGGGGCTCTAAGTTTCCGAAATGAAACCCTAGACCCTGAACCCCCTAAAGAGTCGGATCTCTAGGCCTCCGAAAGACAACCCTGAACCCTACGTAAGCATACAGTTAAAGCCCAAAAGTTGGAAATCCAGTAGCCCCCATCCTCAAGAGTAATATGTAGGGAATGCCGGCACTATTCATCCTCAATCTGGTTTCCAACTTTTTGGGGTTTACTATACTTTTTCACACCTGGACTATGCATCTGCCAGGAACCGCAGCTGAAACATATTAAACCCTAAACCCCTAAAGAGTCTGATCTCTAAGTCTCCGAAAACAACCCTAAACCCCGAAAGAGTCTGATCTCTAAGTCTCCGACATAAAACCCTAAACCCTTAAAAAGGCTGGGACTCTAGGTCTCCAAAATCAAACCCTAAAACCTTTAAAGAGTCTGGGGCTCGAGGTCTCCAAAGTAGGTGTGAAAGGAGAAGAGCTGGTAAGGGCTGAAGACTCCGTCGCCGCCTTGGCTCGGAGCTTCGTGGGGGGTTGGGGGAGGGGGGGTGTCAGTGTCCCTGGGAACGTAAGGTCTAGGGTTCAGGGGTTAGGATTTAGCGTATAAGCCGTAGTGAGCTAAGCCAAACACCCCGAAACCCAAGACACTCTGGGCTTTGAGTTGTGCTTTCGGGGTCGGTGAGAAGTCAACGGCAGCAGGGTTTTTGCCTTGGCTGCCTTGCAGAGGCCCGAGTTCGAGAGGAACATGCCGAGGCGGGGAGTCGCTCCATAGAGAGCAGAGCTAGGGTTTAGGGTTTAGGGTTATCTGAATGACAATGACTAATAATATGTAGAAAGGTTACTACTCGTGAAAAATACAAAAAGAATATAGTGTTCAATAAGTCGGGCCTATCCTTACGGATCCATTCCCTCACCCCTAGAAAGAACCAGGGAGATGATTTTGATGGAAAATTCTGAACACCGAGCGGTGCTCTTATGATGGGCTTATTATGGGGGAAAGGGTGTAAACTGTGTAAACCCTAAACCCTAAACTCTAAGGTATTCCTTTGAAGCTCGACCCTGGTACCTAACACATGCCGAAACTCCAAGGGTAAAAGGAGGGACCCTTAATAAGGACCCCTAGGTATATACCCTTAATATAGCCATTATATACCCATTATATAGCCGGTTATAGGGTAGAGGTCCCCATTAAGGGTCCCTCCTTTTCCCCGGTGAGAAACTGAACCTGAGTCCCGGACGGCTAAGGCGCTGAGACTTCCGTTTATGGTGGTCGCGCACAGGCGTGGCCACGAAGGCAAAGGTGCCTGGCGACAGGTTGAGGGTGGTAATATAGGGGCCTCAAAAGAGAGTATAGGAAAGTATATTCAGACCCCGATATTGGGTATTCATCACTTTAGATGGTGTTAGGTTTTGTTAGAGTTTCGATTCAGGGTTCAGGCTTTGTTTTTTAGAGCTTCAGGGTATTGCCAGTAGGTTGTAGGGCATTTGGGTTGTCTTGGGGTTCTCCGCCAATGCTGCGGAGGGCTGGGACGATTTAGGTTTATCCAGATCTTCAGCTGGGAATCCCCTGGGGCCTCAGTTCTTTGACTTGGGTGTCAAAGAGTATTACACCACGACTGCAATACGGAGCCCTAGGGAATGTCACTATTTATTCCGCACCCAGGCTTCGATGTGCACCTCCGAGCCCCAAATCCTGAGAGACCCAAACTTGACCTCCCATGTTTTAAAACCCCTTTTTCCACAGGCTTGATTAGTGCTCGCCCGGCCAGAATTAGACTGAGGGGTGCTATCAGAAGAAGCCGGGCGGGTGGTTTCGCATTCAGTCTGGCATTCGGTCGGTGCCTCGGGTTGGGTGGGGGGGGGGGGTAAACCTTGGGTTCAAGAGTTCAGCGATGCTGGGCTTCGTTGTTATGGGCGGCTACCGGATATGGAGCTCAGTCGGTTTAGTGGTCTGCTGAAAAGCTGCATCATGGTCCGAGACCTGTCTTTTCTGTTCTGAGCTCTGGAGTTCATGTGAAGATGTACAACAACTTCTCCGAGATCACATGCTGCGATACTCCCAATTCCAGTGCAATCATATCCAATTCAAGAGAAAGTTGCATCGAGTCATGAACGCCAGTCTAAACATTCTAATGCCGTCTTATAACTTTTGGTCTGGCTTGGACGCTGAACCCACGTCAAGGATGGTGAAGAACGCAATTCCGCAAGTGACCAGCCGACGAAATCAGAACTTGTTATTGCCGACTGCCTCGGATAGAAACCGCCAAGGAGGCAAGTGGTGTACGAAGGAAGTAGGCCATCGATAACTACCACGCCAGCCTTACATTCCACCCTGCACCTGCAACTGTTTCGCCCTGAGTGCACACAAGTCCTAAATCCTGAAGGAGTCTGTGACTCCGAACAACGACTTACTTGTAGAGGACCACGCCGCTCGAAAAGAGCTAACACAACATTCACGTCGAAACGGGGGCGGCGCGCTAGATGAGACCGAGACTAGAGCTCAAGCACAAAGGAATTGCAGTGAGTGCACCTCGCAGAATGAGGTACATGTGGAAAGCAGGATCGCCCTTCCTGAGCGTCTCGCACTTACGCTCGTGAAGTCATGTTGGTGCTGGTTCACTGGATGTTTCAAGCCGGGAAGATCTCGGCTGAGCCCAAAATGGCACTTCAATTTGAGGATGCGCCCGTTGGTGTACAAGGCTACTGCCAATGGGGGATGGGGGTTCCAACACAAACTTGTTCGCGATCTTCTTGGTACGGGTGCTTTGGGCTGCTTTCAACACCAAAACCCGGTCGCGCACAACGGAAGCCCCCGAGACAAACTATCTCTGGAACCTCCATAGAACCGAAGCATAAGCTACAGAAGGACCTACGGCTAGCACTCGCTTACCACATCATGCAGGGAGCCACAAACCCGAGCTAAGACTGGCTAGCGAATACTTTGGGTTGCTCTCTTCATACATGTTGAGGAACTACCAACTTGCAGTTAAATCCCTGCGCAAGCCCTTAAACCATAGATCCACAGACGTTTTCTACCCTTCCGAAAGTCCGAGCGTTGCTCGCAAAAACTCTGCTCTGCCAGGAAACTGGTAGACGATCTGTGCTTGCTCCTTGGTCGGAGTCTCGACTCGTAGACACTGACGTTTAGACAGACGGAGACCCAAGAAAGGAACAGAACGCAGACGGTCAGGGGAATACGATGGAATACGGTGCTCGGGAAGCAAGATTTCGGTCAAGTGAAGTTAGTGCGAATGGAGGAGCCCCTCACCCTAAGCTTTTCGAGCTTGAAATGCGAGCTGAAACCAAGTTTTCGACGCTGAAACTGAGCGCTAAACCCCTTTTCTCGCATCAAGACTTATGGGATCGCCTGAAAACGGACTTCTATGGGGCTACGAGACGCCGCTTCAAGGCGAAGTTGAGGTTATATGGGAGCTTCCGACAACTAGGGGTACCTTATTTTGGGGTCCTTACAATAAGGATCCTACTGTCTCAGGCACTATCTTAGGGTCCCCTATTGTCGGAAACTCCCATATGAATGCTTGAAACATGAGCTCCATGCCTAGCTGTCAACGCCAAGAATCATACAGCTTTGGCACCAGGACGACCGACAGCAGCAGCGGCAATCGCGCCGGTATGCCGGGCAATGTGGGGTGAGTCAGAAACGTGTTTCGTGCCAGCTCGCCGTCGAAAAGGCTGCCGTGCATCTCTCCTAGGAGCTCGGAATTAGGAAGTATGAGGAGTTGTGGTATAGCATCGCTAGCAGCTTGCCAAGACCACGTAGAATCTCAGGATATCTCAGGTGACCACTGGCCAAGTTCAACGGCATGTCCGTGATGATCAGCTGCCTCAGCTTGCACCCTCCCTGCCAAAGACCTATAGGGTTCCTACGGCTGATGATGCAAATCCTGCATTACCCATAATAAGGAATGTACCGTAATTCCCATAGTTTAGGGTCCTTAAGGTAATGCAGGATTTATATCATCAACTGTATAAAGTTCCTGCACGGGCTCCTATAACGAAGGCGTCGGGTTGAAGGTTCGTGGGTCGTGTCGTATTGCGCTTGTCTAAAGGGAGACCTGAAGCCCCCTAGACCCCACACAAAACCACATGGCCAGTTGTCAAAATTAGGCTCCCTTTTTGGGTACCCTAAATCATAGGTGCCGTATTATATTAGGGACACCAAAAGGGGCCATAATTTTGACAACCACCACATGCTGATCCTGAAAATCCGCCCCACTCGCCGCACGGCTGAAGGTGACGGGTTCAAGAAGTCCCCTGAACAACCAAACTATGACTATAAGAAGGAAGTAAGGGATAGTAAGGAAGTCGTACTTTAAAACGACTGAGTCTTATCTAACCGGTGGTTTTGGGGTTCCCTTGGCTCTTTAGCGCCTTATTTAATAGGGATTATCATCATCCCTGGCTCCTTAGCTCCTCCAATATCAATGGTTAGTTATGTGAACCGCTTTGAGGTCCATCGAGGCACTGCATCTCCTCAAGGTCATGCTGTCTCGGTACATCTCGAAGTCCGTGGCGGACCTCGTCTTTGGGGTAACTATCGGGGGCACGGGGCCGTAGTAGTTAAAAATAGAGTTCTAGGGTCCTTTATGGTTGATTCACATATGTAGGATTTTGTTTTATTTCGGGGGGCCGAAAGTGTTGGACATAGAGTTTTAAGGCGTATTATACTTGAATGAAACAAGGACTATAAGCAGATTTTCCCATTATGAGGTTGATTATAGTCGAAGGTCTGGGGTTCCTTTCACAGGTGCTACAAGGCCCTAAGGATTCCACAACGGTCATAACAAGGCACTGGGCTCTGAAGCTTTAATGTCCTACTTGTCGGGTATCATGGGGAACTAAAGGTTAGCCTTTTTGGTAATATAGGGTTGTATAGGGACTATACTACCCAGAAAAGGTTAGATGTTGTGGTGGAAACCCACATGGGTGGTTGTCAAATTGTGGTCCCTTTTTGGGTACCTATTATAATACGGCACCTAATATTTATGGTACCCAAGAAGGAACCAGAATTTTAACTACCCACATGGGAACAAACAGATCTGAGTGCTCGGCCCAGTTCTGCAGAGACTTGGCCATGTGACCTGGTGATGTGTTTTAGTTTCGGCACTCACACTCGGACATCCAGTCGAGGCATGATTTAGAGCTTACCGTTTTGGGATGTCGGCTTAGTTTGTGAGGTTTTGGGCCCCAAATGGGGGTCTACGTCTGCTTGAGGTTTGACCTCCAAGCTGACAGTGAAAGAGCCGCACGCATGAGGCGAACTTTCTGCAGCCTCTTCGACGATTGCAAGTTCAGGATGTGGGGGTGAAGCCGTGTGGACTTTGATCCACACGGCTGCAAGCTCTAAAGTTCAGTCCAACAAGCCTTGAGCACCCCAGCCTTCTTACCAGAAGCTTTATGCCAGAAATTCCTGAGATTGCACATTCCTGAGCCCTCAGCTGCGGAGCATGCTTTCTTGGACTGCGAGCCCGGACGCGATGCCCCCCCCCCCCCCTTCCTTCCGGGGCTCCGAAGCCCTAGGCCCGAGAGGGCCGAGATTGCCAGGCTTTTCGCACCAGCTGGGCATCGCAAGCGGCGAGGGAGAGCGGATACACGAAGGCTCATAGTCGTCTTTCCCACCGAGTGTCTGTATGGTCTTATGCCTGAAGCCCACACATCGAAGGTCTCAGTGATAGTGGTATGATGTCGCAACTTCAAATCATTGTGTCGCAACGTGCTGCTGACCAGCAGCCAGGAGGTTTCGATATGATACCACATCACGAAGGAGGGTTTAGAAGTCAGGGTGCCAGGGTTTAGTAATTAAGGTTGGCATTGGGGGCCCGACAAGCGCAGCCCTCAAGCCCGAAAGCCAACACAAGCCCCTCGACAAACCCAAAACCCTAAACCCAATGCTTCCAAAGCCAAACTGCAAATCCATGCCGGTTCCTGCAGGCCTCTCTCCGATGGCACGGCAAGGTGCGAAATACAGAAATCACCGGCTCGAAACGGTCTAAAGGCTTTATAAAGGCGTTCTTCGGGGTTTTGAGTTTTCACTCGAGGTGTTGCGCGGTGCATGGGCGATGAGCTTCCAGCATACGTACTTGGTACAGTAGACGCAGTAGACCCTCGAAATGCTGCCGAGGCAGGCCTAGAACCAGCAAATTTGATTTGTTAAATCCTAAACCCCTGAACCTCTAAACCCTAAACCCCTAAAGGCTAAGAATCCAAAAGCCTAAGCTGACTGGGCGAGCTGCCGCGGAGCCGCGCATGCTGCATGAATCCAGCAACAAGGCGCTGCCGATGCTGTGCTAAAGACTTCAACTCGGTGTCCTTCAGGGCCCAAGAGACTCCAATAAAGAGAACTCCAGAAAGTTGGAATATGGTTTCAGGGTAGGATACCCTAAATTTACCACAAAGGGGTTAGGATAATGATATTCCAACTTTCTGGCTTCTACTGTATCCCTGCATTAAGGAATATACCTTAAGCTACAGTAGGATCCCTCATATGATTTAATGTATATTCCTTAAGTGCTAAAGTCTTCAACTCGGTGTCCTTCTCACATGGGAGCTTCCGAAGACAGGGGACCCTTACTGTGCGGGGTTTTAGGGGCTCCTTTAAAGGGATCTATAAGGGCTTTGGGTTTAGGGCTTTCGGGTGTAGGGTTTTAGGCCTTCAAGGTGTCTGTTGACAAAATGCTTGCAGGCTCCAGGCTAGGTTCTTCCTTCTTCTTGGGGTTGATGTTCAGGGGTGAGACCGTCGGGCTTGGTGTGCATTTAACAAATTTTGGGGGAGCACAGCATGCCACATTGCTCGATACAATACCAACAATCTCCAAAACATCGAAACCGTCCACCTCGAAGCTGCACTATCGAACCACAAACTCCCGACATGTACTTATGGGCTTGTTCCATCTATGTCATAAACACAACAAAGACATTCAACACTGCAAGAGCCAACAGGCAACGCCACGAAGCGTTCATCACGGCACTGAGGGAACATTCTAAAGGATCCAATATGGAGCCTGAATACTTAGAGTAGGTCTCAGCGGGGCACATTATAGTATACTTGCCATAAGGAACCCGAAGGTACAGTATTAATGAGACATGTTTTCGACCCATATATACACATAATAAATCCTAAACCTCCAAACCCATATATATATAGATAGATAGATAGGGTTCAGCTCGGCCTCTACAGGTAAGTATGTCCTGGGGTTCCTGAAGGTTCAGGTTCCAGGGTGCAGGTTTAGAGTTTAGGGTTTGGGGCTCGGTTTGAGATAGACTCCTGAAAGGGCTTGACACTCACCGCAATCCCAAAAGCACATGATGCTAAAGCTGTCCGTCTCTGGGGGGGCAGCCCCCCCCCCCCCCCCCCCCCCCCCCCCCCCCCCCGGCATCTGTCTGAAGAAGCCAGTGCGACTGATACAAAGTTTCCTGCGAGATCATCACCTTAACCCTGAAGAACCTACCTTTTTCAGGACATATACAAGGAAATCATATTAGGGAACCCTAAACCCTACAAAGCAACCTTCTTCATCATCCAGGCAACCCTTAACCCCAAACCCTCCAATCCTGCGAGACCTCGGAAATCACCTTTCCGACGATGATGCTGTGCATCACGGTGCCTTCCCAGGGGCTGCCAGGGGGGGGGGGTTCCCGGAAGGAAACGTGCTGACGTCAGGCTTGATACATATATATATATATATATACATACATACATACATACATATATATATATATACTGACAACAGCGTAGGGTTTGTGGTGTTTTAGGGCTTCGGGGTTTGGGTGTTTCAGGCTGCAGTTCTCCTGGGCCTTTAGGCCTTGCGGGCTCTCTCTGGGAGATGAAACACTCCTCAGGCCTTCGCTGCCTCAGTCTGCGAACCAGACTTCGGCCCCGGAAATTTTCTCCATTGCCCTCATCGATCCCCTGTAGTACCTTTGTAGATCCATTATAGTAACCCTTATAGATCCCACATAATAACCCTTATGGATCCCTTGTAGTAACCCGTATAGATCCCTGATAGTAACCCTTATAAGTAAGTCTGGGGCCTGGAACCTTGCACCAGACAGCAGGATTTACAGCTTAGGGTCTACGGCCCTAGCTAGCTTGAAGCTTCAAGGTGAAGCGAGAATCGCAAGGTTGGGGAAACTTGCGGGAGCCTGTTCTCTCAAATTCGGCGATTTGTTCACCGGGTTCTGTTGCTGGTGAATGCCTCCAATTTTCTCTTCTTCCACCCGAATCAGGGTCTTTAACGCTATAAACCATGATCTAAAACCTAAAACTCTAAACCCTAGAACCCCACAGCCCTTAGCCCTAACAGCCGGTGGCCTATTAGCATGGTGAAGCACACATACAAGACTTCCGGAAGGGTTTTCACCGAGAAATCGCCGAAGCCAACCTGGTCAGTGCTTGGGGCTTAGAGTTCAGGGCTAAGCGCTGAAGGCTTGGGTCAAGGCTTTTGGGCGGGTCTCCGAGATTCTCCTGAAAAATCCGCCCCTCCAAACTGGACATGGATCTTCAACCCGTGATTCCGTACTACCAGTATCGCTGAATATCGGCTTCCAGCACCCCTGAAGCTGTTCCCCTCGAAATGATGAGCCAATTCACCGGCCTTATGTACATTCTTCCTAGGGGTATGACGGCAACACCGGCGAAGCATATCGGTGCAATGATCGCTCCATAAAATGGCAATGCAGCACCTTCGCAAACCAGATGCACCGCTGGTATGCCTAAACCCTAATCACACCTTAAACCCTCAAGGGCTTGAAAGGCCCATGGTTGAACGAACACTTCTTGCTTAACCAAAAAGGTTGCCATTTGGGCTCATCAGTCCAATCGAGAGGGAGATGGGTCTTTCTCAGATGGGATTTCTGCAGAACGTTACATATGCCTTAAGTCTGTGAGACAGGAGTCCTCTGCTGTCGGGAACTGATAGGACAAGTTGGGGAAGATCAAATAGGGGCCTGAATAATTAGAATAGGGTGTTGGGGACCATTATACTATAGTTATAACAAGGAGCCCCCACAACGGCATTTGGCAATTGTGTAAGCCCCTATAGTAACTAAGAAGACACTTCTGTGATCTGATGGCCCCTTCAACTCGGGATGCGACCCATCGAACCAGGAAACCCTGTATGGGTGGTTGTCAAAATTAGGGTCCCTTTTGGGGCACCCTAAATATTAGGTGCCGTGCTATTATATTAGGGACCTAAAAAGGGAGCATCATTTTGACAACCACCTGTATCCAAGCAGAGACGCGGCGGCCCCTCCCGTGAAGCACAGACCCGAACCCACGAAAACTGAACGAAATGGGAGTTTCCGAGAACTACGGTTGATGATATAAATCCTGCATGACCCATAATAAGGAATATACCATAATTCCCATATATTCCTTATTATGGGTAATGCAGGATTTATATCATCAACCGTAGGGGTACCTTGTTTGGGGTCCTTATAATAAGGATCCTAATACTTAGGGTATTACACTAGGGTTCCCTATTTTCGGAAACTCCCAAATGCTTCAGATGTGTACACTCTCGCAACTCGGCAAGCCAGACGAGCTCTGTGTGGTCGTGTCGGCAACTCAACTTTGCACATAGAAGGGTTTGGGGCTTGGGGGCTTAGGGGTTTAGGGTTTTTTTGGTTAGGGTTCAGGGTTTTTAAGGTTTAGGGTGTTTTTTTTTTAGGGTTTAGGGTTTTTGTTTAGGGTTCAGGGTTCAGAAGTTGGCGCAAGCTAAAGTCTTGCATCCAAGTTGCCGTCGTGAAGACGGTAAAGACAAAGTAAACCTGGGTTGTGGTTTGGGAGCCCCCCAAAAGTATTTATGAATAGGTACCTCCATTGGGCAATAAAGGAAATCTTCTAAAGTTTCCAAACCCTAAACCCTAAACCCTAAAGTTTCCCAACGTGCCACCAAGATACGGCATGGATCCATTGCTCCATCGGTGGTCTGTATAGCAGCCTCGGCGGGCTTCTTTCCAAGGGTAAAAGGAGGGACCCTTAATAAGGACCTCTAGGTATTAAAGGGATCAAAAAGGGGTCTATAAAGGGTTTAGGGTTTAGGGTTTAGGATTCCTTTAACAAGGACCCCTAGGTATATACCCTGAATATAGCCATTATATACCCATTCTATAGCCCATTATAGGGCAGGGGTCCCCATTTAGGGTCCCTCCTTTTCCGCCTTTGATTCTTTACACACGCGAAGTGGGGGTCTGAATACGTAGTCATGGTACGCCCCCCTAGTCCCCAGGCATTGATACTGTTGATGGACAACATCCTGCATGACCCTAAGGACTCTAAACGATGGGAATTATGGTATATTCCTTCTTATGAGTAATGCAGGATTTTGTCCATCAGCAGTAGTATAGGATACCCCGAAACCCTATTGGTTCAAAGTAGTAATATGTCTATAACACCTGTAAGCTGCGAAACCTGGCAACTTAGCAGCTCACTATGAAGGTGGTCAGGCAACCACAAGGAAAATCACTACTGCTAGAGTGCTGCCGGTGCTTTGAAAACTCTCTGTTCTTGTCCTTGTACTCTTTCCTTTTTTCTAGGCCCTCTGACCCGACGAACTTCAACCGGCCCCAGGATCAGTTGTAGCCTGCATTCGGTATAAAAGTAAGAAGCTCTGACCCTCTGCAGTCGACTTCGCAGGGTATTCGTGATCCAGATCTCATGCCGGGAGTGGCGCTTTCCTCTTGTTTCGGTGCCAGGAAACGATTTAGGGAGTTCCACTACTCAAGTTGGCCGCCAGCGTCCTTTCGGGCAGAGGTGCCTCCATGGCTGCCATCGCTGGGGTCATCTCTTCGGGCGAACTATAGGGAGTTGTCTTTTATTTTTAGTCAGCAATATGGGAGTTTCCGAAAAGCAGGGTACCTTATTCTGGGGTCTTTATAAGAGGGATCCTACTCTTGGTACTATGTTAGGATCCCCTATTTTCGGAAACTCTCATCTGCTCTAAACAGTCAGCAAAACCGCAACACAAGCGCTTTGGCGATCCGGGCAACGCCCTTCAAATGTCGATCTCTCTGTGATGGGAGGCCGAAAGGGGGGTTCAAGATTCTTGGGGTAGGGATTCCTGAATATGAGCCCTATTATGAGAAGCCTCATCCCTACTAAACCCCCATAGACTAAAACCCGTTTTGGGCTCCTATGACTCCCCAGACCTTCCAAAATCCCTTAATTAAGGCTTGCGCGCCTAAAAAAAAACTACCGCTCGAAATGTTGACGACGAGGAAGACAACGATGATGATGAACATTTTTGATGGTCACGATGATATCGATGGCGATGGCGATGATGATAACGATGATGATGACGATGATGATAACAATCGTGGTAGCAATGATGATGACCTAGCGATCTGGCAAAGGTGACTGTGCAAAGACCTTTTGCCCCATACCTTTTCCACCCACAAACCTCAACAAACTTGCCGCGACCTTCAAAGTCATCGGCCCCACCAGTGTTTTCGCCTTCTGCCGTAAGACTAGCTTTGCAGCCCAGGTCCGGAGAATAAATTCAGGCCGGCTTTTCCCAGCACACAAAAAGCCCACTGCTCAACACATTGATGACGATGATGATAACGATGATGATGAGAATGATGAAGATGATGGTGATATCGATGGTGGCTGTGAGGATGATAGCGATGTTGACATCGATGATGATAGCACTGATGGTCGCCTAGGGCGCCCAGAAAACTGGACACGAAATCGTGTCCCGTTTTTGCTTCTGCCACAATACCGCTGGGGAAGGTCAAAACGTGCGATTTTGCTGCGCCTGCCACACTTTTGTACACTTCCCTCGGCCGCTCCTCTGTAGGTTTTGTCTTCAGGGTGTTTTTTTTTAGGCGCGTGCGCCTTAATTAAGGAATATACCTTAAACTATAATAGGATCCCTAATATGATTTAAGGTATATTCCCTAATTAAGGGATCTTGGAAGGTCTGGGTCTCTCAGGAGCTGCAAGCGGCTCTTAGTTTGCGAAGCATTCAGGCAGCCCGGGAAGATAGACGTTCACTGAACTCAAGGGCTCCTTGTGCAGGGGCCCTTCTAATCAAGATGTTTGTAGTTCAGGATTTTATGAAGACCCGGGATTTTGAATATTTAGCCTCAGGCTCTGTTTTGCACTCCCTGTGTTTCTGCTTCAGTAGAAGCCCAGAAGCTGGAAACCCAATAGCCTCAATCCTGAAGAATAATGTAGAGGAAATCCCGGCACTATTTGGCCTTAACCGGGCTTCCAGCTTTATGTGGTTGACGATAAGGCCCCCCATTCAACCCTAGACACTAAAAACTAAGCCCCTAAACCCTCAACACCCTTTTATGCAAGCTGGCAGCATATCTTGTTCTTGGTTGACGAGGCGGAAAGCCAACCAGGTTTCCATGTGGTCATCGTGGAGAGCAGCGCAAAGATACCTTTGACAGTCCCAATAGGATCCTTCAAGTACCTATATAGCAGACTGTAGGGTTAGGGCTTAGGGTTTATAGGAAAATATTCGGAGTTTCGGATTTAATTAGGGTTTAAGGGGTGGCAAGGGATCCTTCAAGTACCTATGTAGTAGGTAGAATGTAGGGTTTCTATATTCGGAATTACTATAATTATGTTATGGTTTGGCGAAGTATCCCCCGTAACAGTACCGAGGACCCTTTGACAGTCGGGGTCCTGTGTTCTCGGGCCTTGGGATTGAGGGCTAAAGAACGTCCTAGGATTTAGCGTGTACTGTAAGACCCTGAAATCGTAAACCCTAAACCCTAGGCCTCGGGCGAATATTCAGGTACCGTTTTGTGAGCTAGACAGCAGGACCAGTGTCCAAAAGTTTACCTTCCATTTCCGTCATGGGCCCTGGGACAAAGGATACTATAGGTGCCTTAATCATTAGCCCCCGAAAAAAAACATTGGTAATGATTTAGGCCCCTATATTACTGCGTCCCAGGCGCCATCCACAGGCCAGGACGTGAACGAGCCAGACTAGTCCGAGGAGTAGGTTCAGCACAGCGACGAACTTGTAGTGCTTGACCCACTCCTAGGTTGAGGGCTTAGGGTTTGCGCTGAGGCTCCGGGAACCGCATAAGAATAAGGGTGCTATCCTTTATACCGTTCAGTCTTATGAAAGGAAATCCATCGAAACAATAAGAACAAAGGCGACTACTGGGAGACCAAGACTCAACAAGCTGAATGAGCTTCACCACGCGCAAGTATTTCAAGAGCTTCGTCATCCTTTGCCGGCGAGCACTCCGTGACATGGACTGGGAATCATGAGACTTTCCAGAATGCGACGTCATGCTGCGATGAAGGCTGCGGCCCCATAGCAAAACCCTCCGAGCAGTGTTGCAAGGACTCTTTGTAGGGCTGTTTGAGGGTTAACTAGGGCTTTCGGGATGTTTAAGATGCAGGAGTAACATAGCAAGCATAGCTAGGTGAGACTCTGGACCACACGCACACTGTGCAGTGGTCCCAGCATGGCATGAACTCTCAAAAGTTTGCGTGAAGCGAGATCAAACATAATGCTAAATCCCAGTGCAAAAATATGCCCATGTAAGCACCTTCCAAATTCGCAACCCGAAACTCCTCAACAAAGGGCGCGAATGATTGGAAAAAACTTTGCGGTGTATTATAGTAAACCTCAAAAGAACAACCCTCCTAGCTTCAGCTCTGAAAGAATCCCTACAGAACCCTCTAAAATCCCGGCACAACCCCTGGAACACCCTACAGCACCAGATGTTCTCAGGGCCCCATGCAAATGCAGCCCACATCACCGAAGCCACAGCCGAGGCGCTGCTGCATGCGGATAATCCGAAGCGCTCGGTTCGCTTGGTTCGAGTTTATGTCCTGTTACTAGAGGCTTGAGGGTCCCTTAACCGTAAAACCCTTCTTTAAACCCTGGCGGCCGGGGTTTAGGGTCAGGAGTTTAGACGATTAGCGCTTCAACTGCTTTAGGCTTACCTGGACCCTAAGGAACCTACCTTTTTCGGGTTCCCTAATATGATTTCCTTATATAATTCCTTAACAAGGTAGGTTACGTGGGGTTAAGGTAAGGTTTGGGGGGCTTGAGCTGCCTGTCGGACTTTGAGCTCCAGGCTGGAATTTAGCGCTTCGGAGCTGGTGCGGACCTGCGTAGGGTACATACCCGGAGGCCCCAAAGTAGTTCCTGTTTGGGATTACTCCATAAGATTCTAAATATGACCGCAAAAAGGATCTACTTTGGGGCCTTTGGGTAACCTGAGGCTCTTGCAACAACTGACAATAAGACGTAGGACTGACGGACATGACAGCCACAGTTTAGCAATGAAACCATGGAATGGGGCGGCTGGAACCAGAGTCAAGTTGTCCACTAGTTGTCCACTGTGATGTCTCAGAAGCCTCCAGATCGTGGGAACCTCCATCTTGACTTACACCCGGTCGGTACCCGAACATCCAGGTTCAGGGTCCATTTGCTACGCAGAGGTCTACAGCCACAGTAGGAATCCCCTCCTCAGAGCATTCTTCACATCATGGCAACGCACTATGCAACTCAAACCCTAAACCCTAAACTGCAACTCAAGCAATGCTTGTTTGCGGGATCTGGGTGCTCAGATTCTGTGGGCTTTGGGTTTTCCTGGACCACAAAAGTACGTAGAAGAGTCGCCTCCATGATCGCTGGGCTCTTTTCTTAGCTGTATTTGTGGGGTTTGAGTACTTAGAGGATCATGGGACTTAGTAAGTAGGTTATAATTGGGGTTATAAGTCCCCTTAGTGGGGTTATCCTACTTATAACCTACTTATAACCTTACTTACTAAGTCCCATGAGCCTTAAGTAGGGTTTCGGCTTCGTGCCCCCATCCCAAACAAGGTCCTCCGCTAGGGCCAGAGAGACCAGCGCTTCGACAAAAGGCTCTGGAAGGCTGGAGATCAAGTTGATAGTGAAGTTTCCCAGAATGTATCTCCGGGCCTCCAGTTCAGGGTTTAGGAGTTTAGGGGGTTGGGCTTGGGATTTCGGGCTTCTTTGCCACCTGCTCAGCTGAAACAATGTCGCACCGCAGGGGACTTGCCCGAACTTTACTGGATTTAGGGTTCTTTCCCTCCTAAAAAAGGCAAGGGTTTGTTTCAGCTCCTTTTTACGTCCGCCCTTCGTCCAGGCTAACATGGTGTAAGGTTTGGGTCTTGGGTTTTGGGGGGTGCAGTGTCGAACTCACGGAAAGGCGAGAAGCCCAGATTTTCGGAGGTCAGAGTGCGTACGGTCTCGTCCGGATACTTACATGGTCGAAAGCCACACGCACCCGAACCAAATTTTCTTCCACACACTCTCGTTCTCTCTCTCTCGTTCTCTCTCTCTCTTTCTCTCTCTCTCTCTTCTCTCTCTCTCTCTCTCTCTCTCTCTCTCTCTCGCTCTCTCTCTCTCTCTCTCTGTCTCTCTCCCTCTCTCTCTCTCTCTCTCTCTCTCCCTCTCTCTTTCTCTCGCTCTCTCTATCTTAAGGTGCGTGGGCCCTCGAAGGACCCTGGCCCGAAGGCCTACCCCCCTCTCTCTCTCTCTGTTTCTCTCTCTCTCACCCTGCCTGTAATGCGATTCGCGCACACCCAACCCCAGGGTAATCTGGAATAGGTAGATCAGTATGAAGCTGTTCCTATGAGTTCGTCTTCAAAACGCAATATCTGAAAACGCTGCACTGCAAGGAGAGTTTGAGGGTCTCGGGTAGAAGCTTAAGAGAATGTGAGGAGACTCTCCTTGCAGCGCCAACTCCGCAAGGCGCACAGACGTGCGAATCGCAAACCCAATAAGGCCTTTTTGGGCCAACTGTTGGCGCGCTTGGCAAGAATGCAGCAAGTTTCAACTTGATTGTTTGAAACGAATACGTGTTCAAGACAAGCATTAACTGGCTACATTTTGGAGCTCTCCGGCTGCATGTTGCTGAAGAAATGCTCGCTCCGCGTCCGGATTGTGCGATTCCAAAAATGAGCTCGAAAGTGGTTCGCCAGCACCAAAATGCAAGCCCCAAAATGCGACCGTTTTCTGAGCCCTCGGGAAATACACCAATACTCAGAGGCACTAAAAACGGGTCCGAATTCCGGACTTATTTTTGAGTCCGCTTCTCACTCTTTTTTTGAATTCTCAACTCCAAAAAAGTGATCACCGTTTCTCTCTCTTTTCACAGCCACTCCATCCAACAGCACAGCTTATTGAGCCGTTGCAGATTCATGGACAACGACAGCAACAATGTTCTGTGGTTTAAGCGATGAAATCGAACAAATGTAGAAAAAGATACTCCCGCAACTGGGGAGGCCCCTGTGGCGCACACGTTTTCGAAGGATTTTTCGGCCTCGAATATGAGCCCGTCAAATCTGTCAAAATGAAGAACAGCAACAGCCGATCTAACAACAGGAATGCAACCAGAAGCTAGGCAGAGCAAAGACTGTTGCAAATGGAGTTCCTGCTAAAAGAGCAAAAAAAAATCTGGCGAGACAGGTGAGCCCACGTCGTGCATGAGGGGGTTGTGGAGTTAAGCACCGTGCACAAATTCCGAACCGTCACCCACACCTCTCGACACCATAACTCTGCATAGCTCAAGAAGTGCTGTTCAGATCTGGTGGAGATACCTTCCTGGAAATTTCGCCGCTCTTGTACGATCGGCTCCAGCTCCCACCGCTGCAACAGCAAAGGTGCAGTTCCGACTGTTCTAGGATGACTCCATCGGAAAACACTCCTACGACTGTGTCTTGGTGGGTTTGGGGATATGAAGTGGGCTTGGGGTGGCGGCTGGCGTCTTCCGTCATTTCTTTGCCACAACAACAGCTTTTCCTGGAGCTTCTTTCGACATTCAGCTTTTGTCCGACTTGACGGGCCCATTTTCGAGACCGAAAAACCCTTCGAAAACGTGCGCCCCTGAAGGTTTGTCAGGCCGATGGTTGGTGTGTGTGTGTGTGTGAGTGTGTGCGTGCTTGCGCGTGCACCGTGTGTGGGTGAGTGTGTGCGTGCTTGCGTGTGCACGGTGTGTGCGTGAGAAGGTCTCAAAGGCATGTGAGGCAACCACCTCGGCCTTGAAAAGCAATGCTCCCTTGAAGCGTCGCCCTTGGCGGTCACCATGTCCAGTCATACCCTGTGCCCTAAACCCAGCTGAGCCACATTCAAATTTGCAGAATTCAAGACCGAATCTTCAATGAATCAGTTTCAGGACAGACCAAGCTATTTAGTACAAGGGCCTACGCAGTGAGAGTACGTAGGGGATTAGGGGGCCAGCATACAAACCCTGACGACGAAGGAATAACACAGATGTGCTCTGCATTTTTGCTATCGAACTGAGGCTCAGACGATGCGTCTCAAGGATACGACCTCCTTGCCATCCGAGCTCACGTAGGAGAAGAAGAACGGTACCACAACGTCAACAACAAACCTAGGCTGTTTCGGTGCATCCAAGATCGCGTGCAAGATGCCGACCAGTATTATAAGAACCTCAGACAAACTGAAAATCCTACAATGCCACCAAAGGTGTGACATCATGAGCTCGGCGAAAACTGCCCTTTGTCGAATTGAAAGCCTGCTAGGCCACAGAAGAAGCAGTATGGACAGCAACTGCCAGATCTGTCTAAAGATCAAAACACTCAATAATGCCAAAAAAATATGCTCTGAACCCTAAACGCCCAATGCCGCCAAACATGTAACATGATGAACCAACACTGCCCTTCAAACACTCAATGCCACCACATATGCTCTGAACCCTTTTGCATCCAGGCCTATTGCGACTGCCGGGAACCCTAAACCCCTAAACCCTAAACTCAATGCCACCAAAGGTGCACCTACTAGGTTTTTCTAGAAAAGCTAGGCTTTTTGTATTAGGTCTTTCCAGAAAAACCTATCCAATGCCGCCCTAAACCCCTAAACCCGAAACCCCTAAACCCTTTCAGCATGGGCTTGGATACCCCGAAACCCTACACTCAATGCCACCAAAGGTGCAGCTGCTAGGTTTTTATATTAGGTCTTTCTAGAAAAATTAATCCAATGCCACCAAAGGTGCACCACATATATGCTCTGAACCCTAAACCCCTAAACCCGAAACCCCTGAACCCTTTCAGCATGGGCTTGGATACCCCTGAACCCCAAACTCAATGCCACCAAAGGTGCACCACATCCACGAACCTGTCCCAAAAAGCCCAGAACTCAGGCTCGGCCAGGGTCTGCACAGCGTGGCTGCGGACGAAAGTCATCCTTCAAGAGCTTGGAGGTTTCTAGTGGTTAGGGTTTAAGGGTTTAGGGTTTAGGGGTTTAGGGATTAGGGTTTAGGGGTTTAGGGTTTAGCAGTTTAAGGGTTTAGGGTTTAGGGGTTTAGGGTTTAGGGTTTAGGGGTTTAGGGTTTAGCAGTTTAGGGGGTTAGGGTTTAGCGGTTTAGGGTTTAGGGTCAAGAGCTTGGAGGTTTAACATAGGGGCCTTAACTGTTAGAATTGGGTGCCTTTTTGAAGGGGTCTATATGTGCCAGCATCCGCGCACCCCCCCTGTGCCGATACACCCCCAAGGGATACTCCTTGTGAGGAGGTGTATGACCAGTTATTCCCTAAGGATCAAAGGGCAGCGCCCTGCACACGGACAGTAGTTGTTTTGTCTTGCTACGCAAGGAGAGCTTGTCTTGTCTCAATATGGTAAAACCACTGTGAGCCAATGGGCAGCGGAATGTATATGTATGAGCATGCAGCCATTGCTGTAGGTACCTGTTAGAGCTACCCCTTTAGAGGTTTATGGTTTCAAACAGACACTAATTTTCTTTTACCGGAAGCATGGCCGCACATTCACACATATACTGTTATGCCCACTGTCACAGTTGCGGAGTTTGGACTCATTATAAAAACAGCATATTATTTATGCTAGGTATAGCACTGAAGTACACTGCTGAGGACACTCCACTCATTTTGCACACACACTCATGCATGTTGGTCAGAGAGATCATCTGTACAAGATCATGTCTGGTGATGTTTTCTACATCGAATTATGCAGCCTTTCACTTTGCTCTTGTTAGAGCTTTGTGAGTCACTGTTGTGAAACTCTGAGATTCTCTTATCTCAGATTTGGATCCAGGTTTGGATCATAGGCTCGAGCATAGACGTTCGGATGTGGCTCATCCGGGTCTGAGTGATCTTCTTCGGAACTTGAAAAGATTCCGAGTAATCTGTTCTCAGCCCTGGTGAAGGCGGCGTCTGCAGTATCATATCCATGGTTGGATGTTGTCGCCTTTGGCTCGGCCTTTGGAGCAGCTTGTGAGCTGACTGGAGTTGCCTTGGCTTTAGCCGGTTGTGGCTGCTTAGCCTTTGCCCGTTCAGCCCTTCTTCTTTCAAGCTGTCCGTCTGAGGACGCCCATGATCTTTCACTTTCATCTCCTGAAGGAGATAAGGCGTGGGCATAAAGGCTATTCCAGTACTGTGCTGCAGAAGGAGTTAGGACTTCTTCATTGTCAGATTCTGACTGGTCTTCCTCAGAGCTTTGGTCGTCAAAGAGTGTCTCGAGGACATTTTTGAGATTGTTATTTCTTCGCTCTATCTCTAGTGAGGAATGGACCAATTGGTTAAAGACTGTCCTTGAGTCCTTCAGTGCTGTTAGAAGGATTTCCACTCTGGATAGAGTATCTTGGATGGTGTCAAGATGTTCCTTTCTTTCCTCCTTGTCTCTCTGGATAGAGCTTCGCAATGCTTGTGCGATTCTGAGGAGGTCTGTGTATTTCGCAAGAGGCATAGTTACCGTTTGATTGTCATGTATGACAGTTGTTTCGTCGCCGCTTAAGTTCCTGAATAGGACTTCCACGACTGGTAGGAACTCCGTGCTCCACGGTTCCTCTTCATCATATGTTTCTACGTGCTGTAGCACGCGTTGTGTAAACTGGCCGGCTGCTTCTACCGTTGCATCGATAGAGCTGACGTGTCTTGCTACTATGTTTCGGCACGTAACGTTAATTGCCTGGCCTTGATTGGCTTCGTCAAGTGCAGCGTCTGCATAGGTGCAGAGTCCACTGTTGTGGGCTTCTCTAGCTGCCTTTCGTTGAATGCGCCGATTTTGACCTCCTCTTCTGGTAGGACCTTTTGGTCTTGGAGGATCAGAAGGTACTGTTCCTTTCGCCTTTGGCGGAGGACTCTTAGGTGGAGGTGACATGTTTGCCTTGTTAGGCCCTGGTGGCATTGCCTTGGGCGCTGATGACGATGCGGCACTTGAGAGTGCAGATGTACCTCTGGCTTTTGCCGAGGATCCCTTGGGGATCGATGTATAGGTAATCTGCATGGCTTCTTCGGCCATTTGTGCATGCAAGGCATCCTTGAATAATTGTGTCATGTGAGGAGTGTTACTTGCATCATCGTAGGTCTGGAAGCGCTCAATGTCTCTTTCGGTGCCACGTGGTCGTGTATCACCTCTTTGGAAAGGATCGTTCCTGCGAATCTCCGCAACTTGTACTGCATGGAGGCAGTTTTTGCACAGCACCTTCTTGCAGACATCTCTTGCTTGCTTGAGCTGATAACAGCTGTCTGAGAGATGGTAGACTTCGCTCCGGGAAGTATGCCAGATAGGTCGCAGATCAGTTGTTTCTCCGGAATTGACCCTGTTGGGTCCTAAAGGTTCACGTGTCTGCGGTTCATCCTCGGGTTCGAGGAATGGAACTCTTTGGTTCGCTGCTGCCTTTGATTTTGGTTGTTGGCGCTCCATACATCTGATAGGAGGCCTGGTAATCTGCTTCCACATCCAGTGTAAGCCCATTAGCAGCAAGAACACATTCCACGCAATGCTGAAGACGGAGAAGTCCTGCTCACTGGTTAGTGAGTTTGGAAGTGAAGTTTCATCAGTCTTGATAGACTCTGCGTTGCTCCACCTCGGTTGCGGTGTCCGAACCAGCCCGACAATCCCGCTGCTGTAGCAGCTGTTCTGAGTGCCTTGCCGCTCGGAGCAGACGGTGGACGCGATGCCTTCCTTCTTCTTCTCCGGCTGGAGGATTCGTCCTCTTGTTCCTCTTCATCTCTCTGAGCAGACATCAAGTTTGATGTTTCTCTTTCGTGTTCTTCGATGTCACTTTTTGTTGGTGACGGTTCTTCTTCTAGTCCATCCAGCTCTTCCAAAGACATGTTGAGCTTGTCAACAATATTGGTTCTTTGAGGCCTGGACCTTGATCTTGGTAGATCTTGTTGTGAAGAGGACGATGATTCCTGGTTCCTTCTTGGAGGAGGACCTTCAGGCTCGCTGGGACGTTCAGGCTGTGGCCACTCCCAGAATCTTCCATATCTGTGATGGCTACCTGATGGTTGCGATTTGTCGTACCAGCTGTTGCCGGATGAGTAAACGAATGAATCGTTGTAACCCCAGTATTCAGCATTACGCTGCTTGTAAGCCTTTCGCTTGTCAGCGATCTTCTGGACCTGGGCATCTGACCGGTTGTGTTTCCCTTTTGTAAGGATTGGTTGTATCGTGAAGCCCAAAGGGCTGTGCCAATCTTTGTCAGTGGGACTCAACCATAGGTCAAGGTTAGAAAAAGTTGAATAGTACTGCTTGACTGAGACAAACAGACGGATATCAATATCCCTGTTGTTGTTCGTGTCCTGCCACATATCTGAGATTCGTTCCCAGTATGTTCTTTCAGCGGCAGGTGTGACCTCTCTTGGACTAGGTGACGCCGTGTGCGGCGTTTTACTCCAGTCAAGGATATAACTGTTGATACAGTCAAGGTCAGCAACTTTCTTCGCCGGGTCCGCCGGTAGACGATCTGCACGTGCCAGTCTGTGCTGGTCGGAGTTGTTCAAGCAAAGATGTCGCACTTGTGAGTGCCTTCCTGCTATTTTGTTGAATGCTGCAAGTTTCTTCTCCAGGTATAGAGAAAACAAACTGTTTCGCGGGTGAACGTCTCCACCTTTTAAGGTGAGCCTCGACGCAATATTATTGAGATCTCCCGCTATTACATCCGGTTTAAAAGGGAGAACCTCGTTGAGGAACGCGTTCACCAGTTCGCGTCTCTGTTCTTCCTTATGAGTCATGAACGAGTTGAAATGGACGATCGCGATGGTGATGACCTTGTAAGGCCCTTTTGTACACCACATCTCGTCAAGATCGTTCGATGCTTCTTGTGAGAAGATCTCTGCGTATGACTCAAAGTCTTCCTCTGGTGGCTCATCACCCTCGACATGGCCGTTCCATTCACAGAGAATCGGCGAGGGGTCGAGGTTCGACAGTGTCAGGCACGCCTCTGGTGAGAGGTAAGAGCCATCAGTGGGTCCATCCTTGTCAGGATTTTTGCCCTTGAGTGGGTCATATCCGATAATCTGCATGAACTCGTCTCTCGTCATCCTTTGGCCAGAATATGGGTGGACCCATTCTTTTGCCTCTGGTATGGTACTGTGGTACCCAAAGGTGAGGCGGCATACCGCACCGTGGCATGCCCACAGTCGCTTCTTGGGACCACCATTCTTAGGCTTCATTGTTCGATGACGGTAAAAGTGGTGGACGAGAGCGATGTCTGTTGTTGGGTCACCCTTGACTCCAATATACATTGAGGGTGCCTCAGGCTCCTTGGGAGGAGAATGGATTAGCATCCCCCTGTATTCATGTTGTCGCATGGTTGCGATTGAATACTCTGACGCAAGTGCTCCTGCCTCGAGTACGAGGGTAATATGAGCTGAATTGTTGAAGCACATGTCAATAAGAGGGTGATAATCGAATCCCTTCTCAGGTTTGAGCTTCTTTTTGGGATTCCCTGCGGGCACCGGCGCTCGATCCATATTTCCCCAGTTGAATACCACTAGGTTTAGCGATACGCTGTCTGGGTTCGAGCCTTCAATGTATTCTCTCTTCTCATTGACACCGGCCATCCTATTGCGAACTATCTCGTAATGTGCATCGAGCACCAGTTTGTCTTCGTAGCCAGTAAGAGAGAGAAAAGAAGCCGGGTGGCTTGTTCTAGAGTCCTTGATGTTGATGTGACTCTTGTTAATGCTCTTATATTCCTCCAGGGTTGGAGCCTCTGTGGAGCTGTCATACGTATTCGGAGGATTGTTCCTAATATCATCAAGGCTGCATGGATCAACGCCTGGATGGTCCTTTTCGAACAGACTTCTTGCGTGTTCGCAATACATGTTGATTTTCTGGACTGCCAAATCTACGTCCTCATGTGTGAGGATGGCCTCGTATAAAAACTGACGCTCTTCTGAGGTCATTCCTGCTCTCACTTTGGAGGTCTCAAGGCAATCGA